CACTCTCCACAAAAAAAGTGCAAAACGCGCCTTAACAAGTTTTCACTTAAAAAAAAAAAAATGCACTTGTAACGGTTATTATTATTTATCTCTTAGTTCTTACTATTGTCATTATTCCAACAATTTCATTTTACTTTATATTTATTTATTTATTTTTTATAATTTTTTATTTTTTTTACCATCACTACTTATGTTTCTTATACCTTGTTATCTGGTTATTTTCTTAGCCCTGATGAAGGCCTGAACTTCAGGTCGAAACGTCGGCCTACGTAAAAATAAATATTATCATTTATTTTTGTCTTCTTTTTTGACTGAGCACCCCAACTATTCTTCTCTTCATTATCAACGACAGTCAACCATTTACCAATTATAAAAAAAAAATCTTTTTTGATGCACCAAAGTGCAAAGATAGAGAATCAATGTTATGTTGAAATTCATTCTTCAAAATTACTGGTTTTCAAAAATCGATGAAAATATCAGGTATCGATTTATTAAGTCGTAACATTAGTAAGTATATATTATAAGAAGTATATTTTGATGATATCGAGTCATAGACTGATATTAATGTCCATATCGAGCCTTCGCTGTCCCATCACTAATTCGATCTCGTCCGCCTTATTTCCGAGACACTCGGCCTACTCGAGATATTATTTATGACGTGATCATGAGATCTTGTGCTACCAATCAATGTGGAGTGCCACTTGTAAAGTATTAGCATGAAAAGTAATATCCACTTGTATAAAGTAATATACACTTGTAAAGTATTACCCTTCTCTATATCTTCATAATATCTGCAGCTAACTAAATTGCTAGCTCTGTTAATTTTTGGAATTCCCTTAAAAATCAAAATTCGGCATTCTTCATCCCTATCTACTTTCAAAACCCTCCTATTCCTGTTCTCAAAACAGTCACATACCCGCTAACCTTTTATGCAAGATTACATATTATTCATAATAGTATACATATAGCTCATAACTGAAATACTTATTATCAGATTTGACTTTCTTTTTTTTTTTTTCAACAGAAACATAGAGTTTACTGTTAAGAAGATTGTAATGTATTTTTTATTTTTTCTAAAAGTGTATATTTATATTTTACCATTGTACATAGTTTTAAGTGTCTTGGCAAGGTTTCAAGAGTTTTGTATATAGATTTTTTTTATTTTATTTTGTATATAGTATGTATAACTAATATTTTCTTCACCTTTACTTTTTATGTTTGTTTTTATTTGGTCAGATATAACATTTTAATTTTGTACTTTTTTGTTATTCTGAAGGGACTTCGTCCCAGAATAAAATTATTTTCTATTCTATTCTAACCGTATATAAACATACAGCAAACAAGCTTGTGGTTTCAAACAAAAATCCTGTATAACATTTCGCACTATTTTCTTCTCTGACGAAAGATTGCGTTTTGCTCTTGAATTTACATCATATCATAATAGAACTTTCTTACTCGGTCATAGTACTATTAAGACTACATTAAGACAAAAATTATTAGATACTGTTTATTGTATCAGACAAAAAATAAATTCATCTAGAAATAAAAATATATTTCTACGCGGTTTGGTATCACCTTCCTCCATAAATCTTATTGGTACACTCTGTTAAAGAAATATTTGTTTTTCTTTGATGAGATTTCTAAGCAAATAAGATAAAGAGATCTTTTGTCTTGCTCATCTTTTTGTAAACTTAGAATCAAAATAGTTATAGTAATATTGTTATAAATATTATTATTATTACTAACCAGAACATAAATTAAATAGTTTGTCTTTAGAATCGTTTAAATATTTTATGGAGAGTTTATTTTTACATTAACTTACCTATACATATAATATATAATAAGGGAAAGTATTCCGATCGTCAAAATATCGAAAGAATCTGTTAAGAAGTTCAAAATGTTAAAATAGCGAGGTTATATAGGCCAAATATTTTTGTAATTGTGGGTTGGTTATTAATTGTAGTGAATAATTATAGAGAAGGATGTTTGGGTGATCAGTCAAAATAAAAAATAGTAAAATAAATAATTACATTTGTTTTTATATTTGCCGACGTTTGGACCCAAAGTTCAGGCCTTCATTAGGACTAAGAAAAGAACCAGATAATAATAGGCATGGGAAACTATAAACATTGAATAATAAAAAATTAAAATTAAAAATATGAAAGGTATAGACTAAAAAATGTTGGTAGAAAAAACGTAAAGTAAAATAAAGAAGATAGAGTGAACATTAAAGTAAAATAAAGTATGTAGAATAATAGAAGAGAACTAAGAATTCTCTGTTACCGTTATTATTCTACCTACTTTATTTTACTTTAATGTTCACTCAATATACTTTATTTTACTTTACGTTTTTTCTACCAACATTTTTTAGTCTATACCTTTCATATTTTTAATTTTAATTCTGTATTATTCAATATTTATAGTTTCTCATTCCTATTATTATCTGGTTCTTTTCTTAGTCCTGATGAAGCCCTGAACTTTGGGTCCAAACGTCGGCAAATATAGAAAAATATAATTATTTATTTTACTATTTTTATTTTGACTGATCACCCAACCATCCTAAATAATAATAACCGCAACAAAGTATGGACTAATGAAATAAACATAATCAAAATAAGGTAATATAAGAAATGAAATATGGTGATCTTAGAATAAAATGAATAACAGCGAAAAGGAATATAAAGTTATAAATGGAAAATTGGCATATTGTAAAATCGATCAAAATATACGGACTATGTATAAAAGAATAAAAAATTAAAATAATATGTAAAAAAAAGATCAATGAACAAATGCCTCAATACCAACATCCACCGTTAATACACTTCATTTCACTCTTCAATTCTAAATCACTTCAATCCATTAGTCCTTTCTATTTCCTGCTCCTTGTTACCTGATCGACGCAGATTAAAAAGAAAAGTCAATTTTTTTTCTTTTAATAAATTACTACATATAGCTGAGTTTACACTTGATGAAACAAATACCAAATTTCCTTTCTTTTTGTAACCAATTGATGCCCAAACCATAACTTTTCCTCCTCCCATTTGACGCCTTGATAATTTTTTTTCTTCTTTTCTTAAGTCATGAAAATAATACGAAAAATTTTTTTTTTCATCACTAAAGATCATTTTCTTCCACTCCTCAGTCCATGACATCACACTACGAGAAAATGCCATCCGGGCTAATTTGTGATGGGTACTCAAAACTGGCTTTCTTTTCAATATTTTTCTAACTATTATTTTTGACTTTTTAAATAATCATTAGACATTCCTTAGTTTTGTTTGAACTCCAGCTCCCTCAGCTTTTGTGGATAAATGAATATGAATAAATCAAACGGCGCTCTTCTTCGGAAAAACATTTATTTTCCCCCATAACTCACGTTCCGTTTAGGTCTATTTTGAAACAAATTCAACACTGCACTGAAGTAGAAATGGTATTTTAACGATTTCAACTCTAGAGGATTAAGAAAATAGTAAACAAAAACAAGTGTGTCTATCATTTTGAGACACATGAAATGTCAATATTTACTGATATTGGATTTAAATAATCTTTGGTCTGACTTACAAGGTCTGAGAAGATTGTCCCCATTTCAATATCATAATTTATACTTTAAACTGTGCTTAAAAAAATAATATCAATCAAAATAAAGAAAACATGAAATTTTTTTTTAATTTCAATTGGCGTGTCTAACATTTTGACACTGAGTGTAGGTGTTTTTAAAATCAATATTCAATAATGAATCATGAGATTTCATGGGTGTTCCTGAGATTTACTTTTTTTATAATTATACACAAAAATATATATATATTTTGTATGGTTGTACTCATTATTAACAGGTACTAAAGACGAAACAAAAAGATTTTTAGATTTTTGATTGTTAAAACTGGAGGATTGAAATAAATTCCAATAAATCCCATCAAATTACCTTCACTCTTAGTCGTAAACCTATGACTTCCTGTGCTACAGCATCCTTCAACAATAGCCCTCTTATCCCTGTCGAACAAATCCGATATTTAGGACTCCACCTTGACAAACGACTCATTTGGAAGCCCCATACCAGACTGAAACGACTAGAAACCGCCCGACGTTTTCGACTATTGCAGCACTTACTAGACAAACGCTCTAAGTTTTCATTCAATTACAGACGACTCATATATATGACAATAATAAGACCTATTTAGACTTACGGTATTGAGCTTTGGGGCTTCACTAAACCATCGAATTCCTTTCGTATCCAATCCTTACAATCCAAAATCCTTCGTAAAATCCTCAACGCTCCTTACTTTGTCACAAATAAAATCATCCATAAAGACCTTAATGTTCCATATGTTTCCGATTTGGCCCAATCCAGATACCTATCCTTCCATTAAAAAAACTGCAGAACCATCCGAATCCTCTCGTTTCAAACCTTGCTTCCTCCTCGATCCCTGATAACCCTCCGAGGCGTCTGAAAAGAAGATGGCCTCGGGACCTTCTAATATAGAACTTTAATTTGACTTCTACCAATGGGTAGTTTCTCTTCATGCTGTAAATGTCATGTTACCAATGTCACATTTACTTGTTGTATTTTCCATGTAATACAGTTGTAAATTTCATTAAAAAAAAAGAAAAAAAAAATTTTTGATAAGTTTGTCCTGTTGGAGGATTATGAGTTTTTTTTAAACAATAGAATTTGGAATGTACGAAGTTTTTCTTTTTTAAATGACCCATTAAGTTGTATATTATGCAAAAACTTCCATCACTCCTTGCCTAGAACAATCTATTAAGTGATATCTGTTAGATTTGATGGATGATCTATTAACAAGTCTATTTCTCACTCTCAGACATTTTTCATCATCCTTAATGAACTGAACTAAGGCCTTATCACGATATACGTTTAATGTATAAGTAATGACTGTAACACAAACAGTAGGACTGTATATTTATAGGCTTATGCAACTCCTTTATCACTAGTACATCTGACAGGATAGTAACATTTTCACGAGTGTCTTCTTTTGACCAGGATGGGAGATGCGACAGAAGACGATCGACGAAGTAGGAAGTCTTCGCAGTCTGAAGTGGTTATAGTGAGCGACGTAGTAGTTCCAGATTCTAGACGTCGTAGTTCAAGTCTACAGAGAGCAAGTAATTTCAATTATATAGCTTAAATACTGAAATATAACGAAATATATATAGTCGAAAATCCATGTAAGAAAGTTTCTTAAAAAAATAATTCGATAAATAAAAATTTATCAATTTTCATTTTATTCTACCTATATGAATAAATAAAAACGTGTTTACTGTACTTAATAGAGTTTAAAAAAAAAAAAAAAAACATAAATACATCATAAATAGAATAAATAAGAAATTTAATTTCAAAAACAATAATAATAACCATCAAATACAATATAACAATACAACAAACGTTACAATAAAAAAATACGATATTGTATCAATAGTTTACTATCTGACCACTTGAGATCTTTGCAATGTGGCCTGCTGTACATAATTGCTTAAAGCTTTCCAGTTAGAACTCTTTAACCAAATAATTCTTCTGGAGAACAGGTCCGTTGCCCAAAACATTTCTCTCTTATCTCACTGTACATGTGACAAGTCCTCAAAAAGTGAATGATATCCTTTTTTTCTTGAGAGTTACATACCAGACAGCAATCGTTGTCCCACACCATCCATGGTTTCATGCTTAAATCGAGCAATTCTGTCCTACATCGAAAAATTGATCCTATAGCCACAATATTAAAACTATCATTAAGATAGGGTGTAACAATGTCCACTGAACATAGTACTGCGTAAACAGAAAAACTTGAATGAAGACATTTTTCTAGGTTATTTAGTTTTTCTAAGTCCGCTATCCTATGTCTGACAGCAGTCAATTTTCCGCGCAGATCAGTGATATTTGCAGTATCGAGATTAGTTCGACAACTATCCTCTAATTCTAACCAATTTCGGTTCCAATACACTCTCTTAGTTATCACCTCTTTCGCTAGGATATGTGGAAAACGAAAACTGGGCATCTCCAGCACATTCAAAATATAGTAGAAATGAATTTTAAGTCTGTAGACGTATTAGTAGGAGTATTTTTTACTTTATTCTACCTATATATGAAATATATAATAGCGGAAAATAGTACAACCGTGAAAAAATTCGATTGTTTTTTTTTTTTTTACGAAAATATGCGTTTTTAGGTGCTTTGAATTCACATAACCAAATCACAAAAAACTGTGTGTGTGTACTTGTGAGTAAAGTTGTCCTAATCCGAAATATAAACTTTGTAGAAAATTAAAATTAGGTATTTTATACGGTTAGTCAAAAATGACAGTCTTAAGACTGACATGAATGATTTTAATCACGACAGACCCTACATGTATCAGACCAGGGTAGGATAAATACACCAGTAGCTGACAAGCTTAAAGAAGTTTCTTTTACGCGTAAAAACTTAAATATTGATGTTATTATATTTTCATGGATTCATCCCACAGAACTATTTCTCACCTTCCCAAGACATATTTCAAATCCAAGAAACGTTTATCTAAATTTTAAAAAATTTAAAATTAAGAGAATAGTTGTGTTGTACCAGTAGCTGACAACACTAGCGGATTCAGGATTTAATTTTTGGGAGGGGAAGGGGGAGCTTCAGCTCTAAAGTTTTTTTTTCATCAACTTATAACGATAATTAATTTAAAAAAAAAGAAAGAAATTAACTACCTATATGAAATTGTGTTTAAGTGGTTCTTGAAGTACTATTAAATGTAATTACACGAACAAGAATACTTAAAGAGATATTTTTTAATATTTTTTTCTGTAAACCATGATTATATTTTACCATTTGGAGGGGAAGGGGAGGGACTTCAGCCCGAAAGCCCCCCTCCCCGTAGATCCGCCTGTGGCTGACACTGATTTGAAATGTTCCTGTAGCTGACAAGAGATGAGTAAAAGGGTATAATTGAGGGAAATTTCATATTCTTGACTTTAAGATTAACCTTCATCAAGATCAGTTAAAAACATACATAACATAATTTAAAAATACTCCACAAAACATAACATTTACGCACGGGCGGATCTACGGGGGGGAGGGGGGCTTTCGGGCTGAAGCCCCCCCCAAAATGGTAAAATGTAACCATATTTTACAGAAAAAAATACTTTATACTATCTCTTAAAGTATTCTTGTTGGTGTAATTACGTTTAATAGGACTTCAAGAACCACTTAAACACCATTTCATATAGATAATTAATTAATTTCTTTTTTTCAAATTAATTATCGTTATATATATATATATATATGAAAAAAAAAACTGTCGGGCTGAAGCCCTCCCCCAAAACTAACTCCTGGATCCGCTAGTGCATTTAAGCGTCTACGAGACACATGCCCATCTGTTTATATCGGCGACAACCAAATTCCTATTATCTCGGGCTAATATTCGATAGAAGGATGACCTCGGGTCCACATGTAAAAATGAAACGAAAGACTTTGAACAAGCGACTGAAAATACTATACTATTTTTTTTCCAAATCAAAAATGAAAATCAGACAAAACTTAGACACATACACTTACCTACTTAAACTCATATGGACATACGCCTCACAAATTTACGGTTCTGCAAAAAAGAAACACTTACAAAAAGTACAATCATTTCAATCAAAAATTTTAAGACTAATAATATCAGCTCCTTGGTTCGTAAACAACAAAACCTTACATACAGACTTACGACATCCAACTATCGACCAACACATACGTGCTCTCTACCACGGGCGGAGGAGGGGGCTTTCGGGATGAAGCCCGCCCCTCCCCCCCTCCACAATGGTAAAATATAACCATGTTTTATCGAAAAAAATATTAAAAAGTCATCTCTTAAAGTATTATTGTTCGTGTAGCTACATTTAAAGAGGCTTTAGGAATCACTTAAACACTATTTCATACTTAAACACCATATTCTTTCTTTTTTTCCAAAGTAATTATCGTTATTTTTATTAAAAAAAAGCTTTCGGGCTGAAGCCTCCCCAAAATTAAATCCTGGATCTGCTAGTGCTCTCTACTCCCGAATTCATCTTAAACTATACGGACATCACAATGGACTTATTAACGACATGGCCACAGCTGACATGCCCTAACCACTAAAGAGGAGCTGGATGAGAGACCTCCTTTCCTGAAGTAAGAAAGCAAACCAAGACCTGGAAGAGGTGCTGCTGGGTACTACTTTTCCTCATGCCTAAAATGCCAATTGCCTTTACTTTAACATCACATTTGCTTATTGTCAAGATTATGACAGGTGTGGATAAAAATATGAAGAGAAAAAAAAATCAAACAAATATTTTAGGATAAATCTAAGTAGTTAACACACAAAGCCAAAGAGTTTATTTTGTTTAATTCCCCTCTGTAGAAGAACAACAGCTTCCTGAAAGTCACACATAGTTAAGCAAGGAACAATTTGCATCTTTATCGCAGATTGTGATATTGTTTTTTATCAAGACAGCCTAGACTAATGCCTTTGTTCTTGAACCCCATTAATTGAATGTAGGCCTTATTGAAAAGGTCATTGCAAAATTAGAGAACCAAAAACCGTACAAAAATCGAAATTACAGATTATAAATGTCTGTAAAAATAAAGCTAAAGATATTGAAGGTGCAGAATATTAACCTAAAAATAAAAGTAATAATTAACGAAGCTACCTAATATTATTTTAAGTTAATATTTTCATATATATATATATATATATATATTATTTATTTAATTTTATGTTTTTGTATTGTAATAGTTTCCTTCCGCAACTCCAAGATGACTGTGGTTGCAAGATCACACTAAAAAACTCATAATATGTCTGAAAGAAGATGGAGTTTACCGATTTCCAATAATTTACTAAAAACTAAACGCATATTTAAGAGGCAAATTTTTACTCAATTATAATACTCGATTGTAATTTTTAAAATTTTGAAATAAAAATAGTTTGTAGGATTCAGATCTGATAATCGGATTATTAACCTCTAATAACAATAATTACAGCTCTTTGGATTTCGGCTGAAATTAAAATTTTCTATTTTTAATAGACTAATTTTCACTACGAATTTGTTTCCATACACATTTTCTCTTCTCCTATGTGAGAGATCAGGAATTTTAATTACATAAATTAGCATTTTATCTTGAGGGCAAACAAGCTTTATCAACTTATTTTAAAGTAGAAGATATTTTCCTAAATATTTATTTTATTATTTTACATATTTACGTATTATAAAGGAGGAAATATAACCTAAACTAACAGAAGCAACACATCCAGTCTCTTAGCAGAGTAACCTTATATATACATCGCAAGTTACATCGAATGGGGACAGAAGGTTTCTTTTAATTTTCTTGTATGAGATATGACTGAGATGCAAAATCCAAGTTTTCGACCTGCGTCCCCCAGGATCACAGGCGGATTTACGGGGGGGGGGGAGGAGACTTTCGGGCATAAGCCCCCCAAAACGGTAAAATATAACCATGTTTTATAGAAAAAAATATTAAAAACTATCTCTTAAAGTATTATTGTTCGTGTAATTTACATTTAATAGGACTTCAAGAATCACTTAAACGCCATTTCATATAGGTAATTCATTTCTTTCTTATTTTTTTTTCAAATTAATTATCGTTATATATATGAAAAAAAAATCTTTCGGACTGAAGCTCCCCCAAAATAAATCCTTGATCCGCTAGTGCCCCGGATCACTTATGATAATCCCAAAAACTGCTATATTTTCCCATTTTATCCACGAAGCAGCACGTTTTCGACAAAAACCATTCTATATATTTTTAATTATAGATTAAATAAGCTAAAACTTAAGACCATAACATGCCCAGTAAATCAAATAGTTTACGAGATACGAGTTTTCAAACTTTGGAAAATTATATTTCCCATTTATATTATTTTTTATGTTTCATCATATGCAAATGTCTTTTATCTTCAATAACTTGTCTGATATGAGCCAGTAAAGTAAATATTTATTTTATTTCATTATTTTGAAGGAGGGGTGATGGAGGGAGGAAAACGTTTGTTAAGAGTCCTTGGGCTAGCCCCCCCTCCCACATCACTATAAATTGCATATTGTTGTGTTCCTTGTAACTATAAATTAAACAAAAACTATTGTTCCCACAAAAAAGCGGCCGCCCTGTCCCAAAATGGCAGATTTATGACTTTGACTTGAGTTAGTTTTTGGGTCTCAGAGATTCAGTAGTTGGCTTAATTTCGTCATAATTGGTCTTTTGTAAAAGCTGGATAGTCAGAAAATAATAAAACATCAACAAATTAAAAACAAATAATTGGCCTTGACAATAAAAAAATGGTAGTAAAGTAATTTTTTTCAAGTCGTTCAAACTAAAGTAGAAAATCAAGCATCATTTGTAATTAAACTGAAAACAATAACGAAAAACGCAACAAATAAAACATCTAGAGGATACATTTATCTTTCTATAAGACTGATTAATTTTTAACATATCTGAAATGGTTCTTTAGAAAATGCACTTAATCAATCAATTGTTAGTAAAATTTGAAAAACCCTTCTAGCTAAGAGAAAATACTTTGAACTTCAAAAGCATCTCATTTCAAAAATAAAATATTTATGAAAAAAGAAAGAGTGTCTTAAATATAATACATAAATAATCTTGACAAATTTAAAATATTTTATGTAGTGTTGTTTAATGTAATATTTGATAACAGTTTTTTGAAAGCTCATTTCCTTTTTTCAGGATCAAATAGTGCATATTCAGCAGATTTAGAAACAGCAATTACCAAAACAGGTATTTTTTTTTTTATTACAATTAAACTTTACTTATGACTAACACCATTAAAATAATTGCGGAGAGGTACATATTTTAATATAATAACCATATAAATTTACAGATCATAAAATATTACAATTTTTATAAATATTAACCAACAATAATTCAAGATAAGCTAAAGATGTTCAATACTATTGTAATATCTGAAAGTATGGTCAATATTATTGATCACGTGCTAGGAGATTTCGATTATTATTATTTTTAATAGTACAAGAAACAGACACATTATAAAATAAAACCCAGGCTTATCCCTATTTTATTTATATGGTCATATATAAAATCTTACTATTAAAAAACATCTGAAATTAGTAACTTGTAGGCAAGTAGTTACTTGAATGATTTGTTAGTTTTACGATTATTTGTTAAAATAAACAAAACAATAAGTTTTATAACTTTCCTTATCTGTTTCACTTTATACAAAAATAAAGCAAAACAAATGTTTAAAAATTTGGTAGTTGCGATTTCAATCAAATAGAAATCTGGATATATAAAATTGAGACAGAAATTTTTCAACAGTGAGAAACATTATATCAAACATACACTATCGGTCAAAAGTTTAGACTCACCCTTAGATTTTGTAAAATAAATAAATAACAAAATTTTGATGTCTCAAATAATAACAAATTAGCTTTACTTTGATAAAAACAAGTACAATTATTACAGAATAACTATAATTTTATTTGAAAATAATGAATATTGTTGGATTAAACAAAATTTTCAGGACTTTCAGTCAAGATATTTTTATTGGATTAGCCGACGATTCGACCCAAATATGTGGGTCACCCTCATTCCCACATGTTTGGGTCAAAATGTTAGATAATCCAATAAAAATATCTTGACTGAAAGACCTAAAATTTTGTTTCATCCATTCAATTGATCAATCAACTACCTATCTATCTCTATGAACATTATCCAATTTTTGATTTCTTGAAATATGCCACTTTTGTCTTAATTGGAGCATTGCATATTTTTGGAATTCTTTCTAATAACATTTGCAATGTTCTAGTTGAGAAAGTTTGTTTGATTGGTAAATTGTATCTTCCAAACGATTCTTGCTCACCTCACAACAGTTCAATGGTGTGAGATCAAGGCATTAATGTGACCATGCCATATATTTAGGTTTTTGCTTTTTTTTTTCAATGTAGTTTCTACACAATTTGAAATAATGGTTTGGAACATTATCCTGCTAAAAAACAAATCATAGACTCACAATTTTTTGTCCACATGGAAAATCGTGACGTTACAAAATTCTGTGCTATTTTTTTTTTTTCTCAATAATTCCTTCTATTCAGACAATATCTCCAACTTTGTCACTGAGGAAACATCCCCAAATCTTAACTGATCCTTCACCTTGCTTTACAGTTGGTATTAAACATTGATTTATCACTCGTTCACCAACCATACGATGAACATACTTCCTTTGTTTACTTCCGAAAAAAATCAAATTTTAATTTGTCAATCACTTTTGACCACTATTCTACAGACCAATTTTCGTAGTTGTTTTTTTTATCATTCTAATCATTTTTTTTTCTTTAATAGCAGTTTTCTAGCAGCTACATTGCCTTTTAAATATTAATCATGAAATCGACGTTACACAGTACTGATGGACACAGGCTTATGTCTAGCACATTTACTTCTTCACGAATTTCTGGCACTGTCTGAGTCCGCTTACACTTTGAATTCAGATGAACTTGTACTCATTTATTGACATTACTCCAGGTCTCTCAAATCGTTGGCGGCTCTTATTGTGCCTAGTTTATTTCTTTCTCTTCAACATTCTTATCACAGTACTATGGGAAACCTTAGTCTTAGATGCAATTTGTCGAGTTAAATTTCCTACCCTATGTAATACAACAATAATGGCACATGTTTCAACATTCACTTCTGGTTTTTGACCCATATTTTTATAATAAACGCTGTAAGAAATTGTTAATGTTTTTTTTTTTTAAATACAAGCTATTCTAAATTAAAACTTTAAAATATTTTTTTTTTTAATGTGTCAAGTAGGTACATGAACTTATTTTAGAATGAATCTCAAAAATAAGTGGTAAGTATAGTACAACTTAATGGAATTATAAGCACACTATTATTGTTTCACCTGATCAATCATAATATAAAGAGATCCTGAAAGAATAGGATGTTTGTTGATGTTTATGTTTAATATGTTATCTCTTGAGTTAGAATTATTTTATTATTATTATTAATCTTGAATTATTTTATCAATCTTGAAGATTGTGAATGAAATACAGGTGAATATAAACTTTTGACCAGTACTCTATATAAACATATAACTAATTGTAAAACCTCTTAACTTGAAAATAGTTAACTTCTTAAGAGAGAGAATATTGCATACCATTACTTGACTAGATTTATGCCATTCATTTATATATTTTTTTTGGATTTCAGCTTATAATTAAATTAAAGCATCTATTGGATCTTACTTAATGGAGTTGCTGAAGTTATACATTTTATAAATAGGCTTTATAAATTCTTTGAAGTTAAAGCTTTTTACAGGAACATTCTAGCAATCTGATCTGCCAATCTACAAATATGGGGCTAGCCACAGGATCAGGCAGAAGATAAGGTGCGGTCCCATCTGTAAGGTGCACATCCGTACACCGGGCCGCACCACAGTTAAAGTCCAAATTGTACCCAAATAAAATTATCCAAAATAAATGTAAAATAAGAAATTCATTTAATAAAGACTTTTATTGGCAATAGTGGGGATACGTATAACCCAACGTACTAATCCACTACTGTCGAAACCCCATTTAAAAAATCTAAAATAAAAAAGATTGATTATTTTAGAGTTAAGAGGTTGTTTTTAAAAAAACATACATGTAATGTCATACGTAATTTCTGAAAATAATTATAGTAGAAAATTTTAAAGCACAACTTGATTTTCCACTTTTATCCACTATGAGTTTAAATTTTAACTTAATTTGGATATTTTTATCATTATGGTTTTGTATACATATCATTTTCTTTTTTTTCGTCTAAAAGATTTTTCACCTTTAGATTAATGACATTAATAGCTAATAATTTGGAAAAAACAGCAAATTTATAATATTCATATTTATACATTCCTGTTCTTAATCTATAAATGTAAAAATGGTATAAATATCACTGTCTAATATCTTTTGTCAAATATGCTTTCCTGAAAAGTATTGAATTATTATATTAATCTTTTTTCAATTTTTCATATTTATGAATCTGTTATTCCTAACTGAAATCAATACAAGATTTTTCAGGTAATAATGGATAACAGATTTTAAAATTCTTTAAATATATCCTTTTATAGGATGCGGGAAGTTCAACATTGCCTTGCTTTTGCTCTCATTTCCTGCATCATGTACCAGTGGCTTCGATTCGGGTTCAATCTCTTTTGTGATACCAGCAGCATCAGTGGACTTAGGCCTCACGCCATCTGAAAGGGCACTTTTACAATCATCATGCTATGCCGGTAAGATTTATTTATATAAGTATATGCTCTCTAAGATAAGTCTGTGTTATCTCAAGGAGGTCTCATGTGTTCCATCTATATGACATGTTAAAGTGGATCATCTCTTCCTTTTCCTCGATAATGCTTCTTCAGATATCAAACTGTTAACGCCCCGGGATCCTTTCAACATTTACTTTCTTCTAAAACTCGAACCCTTAGTCCACTCTCAGGAACAAGATCGCGTGTTTCAGAGTATTGTACCTCTTCCCACAGAACTAAAACCAACAAATATATCTTTCTTGTCCACTCTACTGTATTCCAGAATTCCCTGCCTTCTAATATCTGACATACTCCTTCCTTTTCTTCATTCAAATCTCTTCTTGGCCATTTCCTTTTCATATACCAAAAAGAAGCTCCGTAATCTTGAAATTTTAATTCAAGAACACATTGTTTACTTGAAGTGAATAATAGTTTTAATTTTGGATTCAATTCGAAGTTTTAATTTTTTCTTTTAATTTTTTTCTTTTTTAAGGCAATTATTTATATTCTCGAAATGATTTTTTGTTGTTTATTTATTTCTTAATGTTGAAAATGTATGTATGTAAGTTCTTTATTTAAATCCTTCATTTTCCATTTCCTTCTCATGTCCCAAAAAACGATTCTCCAATCTTGATATTTTAATTTAAGAATAAAATGTTGATTTGAAGTAAGTAATAGTTTAATATCTATGTTTTAACTTTAGGATCAATTTGTAGTTTTAATTTATCTATTGATTTTTTTTTTCAATTCAATTATTTGTATTCTCGGGATGAATTTTTTTGTTTTTTGCTGTATGTATGTTTCTAATTTTGAGAATGTATTGTTTGAATCTTATGAATGTAGTTTTTGACCAATAATATTTTATTTTTATTTGTACATATTTGTTGTTCTTAAGGAACCAAGTCCCAAAATAAAGATAGCTTTCTATTATATTCTATATATGTCCATGAATCTTCATCAAATATTTTATTGTCACTTATGAAGGTAATAATGATATATCCACCATTGAGAGTAAGTATAAGATGCAATAACATTTCATTTTTATTTTCCATGACCTTCATATTTACTATAAAGCACCAGAGTTAGAATAAACTATAAACTGCTGCAAAAAATACCTCATTACTTTATTTATGTATCAATTAATCTGTATATCAATACCTTAATAAGGGCATTGGAAGGTTACAGCAATCAGAGTGAAAGTATATTTCAATCGAAATATGAATAATTCCTTATTTATCTTTATCTCTTTTTAATCCTTTTAGTTACTATACCAAAGTTAGTATAAACAAAATTTTTTTACTACCAGTCTTAATTTGGTAGTGTTAATATTGCTTAAAGCTATTTCAGTGACTCTGAAATATAAATTAAGTTATTATAATTCGGTTAGTCTTCTTATATTGTATTAACTTACACAGATATTGTGAGGGTGCCTGAAAGATCCCTGTTCATTACACCACAAATAGATAACTTCTATTAGAGATAGATTTTCACTTTAGCAGGTAAGATCAAAAGCAAATAGATCTTTCTGCCACATTGATAATAGCTATGCTCACATTCAGGTTTTAATGATCAAATTTTAACACTATATTGTTTTCAATTTCCCCTTTGGTCAGTCAGATTTTCCTTTTTTTCTCTCAGAACAAACTTAAAAATCCCTTCCACACAAAAATATACAAAATAATTAGTAATATTATACTTAACTACTCGCTTTATGTCTGTTTTACTTATATTATGTTAAAAAATAGATTAAACCGTGTTCACATTAGCCTTTAATTAATAAAAATTATTTCCATCAAAAAAATGAAAAAATAAATAAATTATTAAGGAAGGAGATGGTCCAAGGTGGCGGTCATAAATCAACTAAATAGTGGCAAAACTATTTTATTAAAGGCCAACGTTTCGACCCGACTTTGCATGCTTCTTCAGGGCTAGAACGGACAAGATACAAAAAGATATAGATAACTGTGGAAGTTACATAATATTTAGACAACAAATTATAAATAATGTGAATAAACTTATTAAAATTATAAACAGTAAGTACATTAAAATATTAAGAACAATAAGTTATATAAACAGAGTAAGCAAAGTAACAACATCCTAAACTGAAGTAAATAGATGGTAACAATTGTTGTAGTATAATATATGCAATTGTGAATATACTCCTACAGATCTACAGGAGAGATTGGAAGAAAAGGAAAAAGGATATAATATGAAATAATGGACATAAAGGGATGTGGAGAAAGAAAAAAAAAAAAAATAAATAAATAAATAAGTAAATAAAATTAGAAGAATAACAATGGAGACTTACAGGTGTGTTCAGCAGGGAATTCCTACTGGAGTAGAACTGGAAAACCTGGGCAAGTACCCTTGGGGAAATTTGCTGATCTGGTTGGGGAATGGTGAGGGGGGTAAGTAGTAAAAGCAAAACAAAACCTGGAATATTACAGTATCTAAAATTAGAAGATATGGATGGATACAAGGAAAAATACTATATCTATGAACTAATAAATTAAAAATATATACATATACATATAAAATAGAATTAAGAAATTATAGATAGAACATCTTGTTACTAAGCTTACTCTGTTTATATAACTTATTGTTCTTAATATTTTAATGTACTTACTGTTTATAATATTAATAAGTTTATTCACATTTTTTATCATTTGTTGTCTAAATAGTATGTAACTTCCACAATTCTTTATATCTTTTTGTATCTTGCCCGTTCTAGCCGTGAAGAAGACCTGCAAAGTTGGGTTGAAACGTTGGCTTTTAATAAAATAGTTTTGCCACTATTTAGTCTATTTATGATCCCAACCCCGGACCATCTCCTTCCTTAATAATACAACGGTCAACTATTAAGTATTCACTAAATAAATTATGTTCATTTTTACTTTTGCCTATGTTTTGGCTTAAAGTTCAGGCCTTCACCAGGGCTAAGAAAAACAAGATAATAATGCAAGATAATGTATAAGAAAATATTAACATTAATAAGAAAAAAATATGTAGCTGAGAGGTATAGGATAAAGCATAACATCTGAACACACCAAATAATCGTCTCTTTAATTATTCACCACAGTCAACCATCAATCCACAAATAAAAGTTGTTTCTGTTTTTTTCCCTCCTAACCATGAAAATTCTCTAAAACGGGAAGTATTTCACCAAAGTGGAAACCCTGCTAGTAAGTAAAATTTGTCAGGTATGGATATCCATTTATAGAGTAAGGAGAAGACTTGTCGAAGCTCTCCATAAACTCTCCTGTATGGTCATCGTCTTTGTTCACCACAGCTATGAAAGAAACCAACTTGAATTTGCTCCTAACATACATGGATAATAAATTGAAAAGACTGAAATTATTTTTACAGATGATTTGAGTTCGGGTTATAGGCCACCAGATGGTTGTGTGTTCATATTTATATGCCCACATAAACGATATTGTCAATGTGATATGATCCCATAGTTTCTATTGCAATAAGATTAAACATGTTCTGTGATAGTATTCATACTGATACCCAAATCGTATTAGTGATTGTGCAATACTCAGAGGAACATTTCCAAGTGCCATTTGACCCCTACATTTCAAACAGTTTCTTGCTGAAGCGTAATAAAATTCACAAAACTCATAGTTATTCAGTATTTATTATAATGTTTACGGAGTGGCCATTGGAAATGTAAACCTTAATCCAATAGTGCATTATTGGATAATGTTCGAGCTTAGTGTATGGTACCAGAAATCCATCCCAAATATCCATGAAAAAGTAGTTATTGAAGAATCAAATGATATACCACTATAATAGTTTAAAAAACTCTTTGCCACAGGTAGAATCACAAGCAATCAAGTAATTTCAAGTAGATATTTCAGCGTTTATTATGTTTGTGGATTAATTTTAACATTATATGAGTCATTTATTTCCAAAGTGAACTCTAACCACCAGTGACAAAACTATATTTTCAATTCTAATTGTAATATCATAAGCAATATTTAAAAAAAAATAATAATTTATGAAATCCTTTATTCTTATATTTCTGAAAATCATTGATTATTTCAATTAAAAGATATTGAACTGAAATACTCGCTTTTAAAACAAATTAAACTTTTAAAGTCTGTTTTGGAAAGAAAAAGGTTGATTGTGGTTCAGTTGGGTGAGAAAAAAATGGTGTATGATTCAAGGGAGAAAAAGTAATTAAAAATGTACTTTAATTTTTTTTACTTCTTTCTTACAATAATGATATAATAAAAAGGTTCAGAAGATTTTGATGAATCATTTTTTTTTTTAATCATATACCATTATTTCTCCTAATAATGAAAAATCTTATTTTATCACAACTTTTTTTAATATTTAAGTTTGTTTAATAAAAAATAATAATTGAAACTTTGTATTCATTGAGTGTTTTTACATACAGTTTCCAAAAAGTTCTATTTCAGTTATGAATAAATGATGGTTTTTTTTATTTTGAATAATTTGCAAAAACTCTAAGTAAATTATATTACATCATATATGTAATTAATTACATTATACATATAATTATATTAATTATAATTGTATATGAATAGCTTAAACATACAAATTTCAAGATGATATGTTAATTTTGTTCAGCAATTTATATCAATATTTTAAACCCAATTGACTTATAAAAAAACTATACTATTAACGTAGATATAAAAAAGTTTAAGTATGTTCTCCAAAAGAATAAAAAAATTATGTGAGGAGAAATCACAATCAAACAATTCTTGAAAAGCTGTGACATCCTTTAAATTGTGGAAATGAAGATTGACAGATAAAAGATTTTTCTTTTGAGTTAATAATAAATGTTTGTTTTATATTTCAAGGTATGATAATGTCAGGACTCGTATGGGGCTTCTTGTCAGATGCTTTCGGCAGGAAGAAACTCCTGGTCATCGGGTTTCTCTTGGACGCCCTCATGAATATCTTGGCGGGGGCATTTCCCATCCTTCCACTGATGATGCTCTTCAAGTTCCTTGCTGGTTTCATGTAGGCATATCTATATATAATTATATTTAACGTTGAATGTTTATAGATTTAAATATGTCTCGTCTCTACATCGTTTTAGAAGACAAATAGTCAGGGAATTAGTCACACTTTATTTTTTCAACATTTTGACCAAATATTGTGGGTAATCAACCGATCAGAATTTAAATACAAAAATATAAAAGATATAGATATAAGCAAATAATAAAAAGAAATAAGAGAATGGACTAAAGAAAGCTACAGTGAAAGATCGAATCTCAAAAATAGAGAGAGCTTATGGGCCAACTAAAAACTTCTCCTAGAAGGCCAAAACAAAGCACTAAAAAAACAGAATGTCTGCATTCCAGCAAACACCTATCAATCATTTATAAGTTGGAAAGGCTAGAAAAAGAATACTATGGAAAATCTTGAGCCCAATCCATGTTGAATTAAGCTGGAAACTTTGAAATAACGGTGAAATTTACAAAAATGTAGAAAAAATCTCTAACGCTATAAGAAAGAGGAGGTTATCATTTCTCAGGCACTTGATCAGAATAGACAAAACCAAATTAACCAAAAGAATATTTGACTACCTGTGGAACAAGAAGACAATGATAGCATGGATTAAGAAAATTTGAGTCTGGAATTGAAGAGTCTGGAAGGTCTTGAGCACTGAAGGTACTCAAGTACTCAATGTAAAGTCGGCACTAATAAAACATAAAAAATTACTGTATTCTGAATATTTATCACCCACGATATGTAGAACAGTCGACTAACTTTCTTCAATAATTAAATAAAGTGAAAACAAAATTGTGAGAATTCATCCTTGATTGTTATTATGAATTGTGAAAACAATTAAAATATTACGAAAAAAAATGTTGTTTATATTAATTATCTGAATAAAATGATCTAATCTGAATATAATGAAATTTGGTGACATTTTAATAAAAACAAATAATTTTACAGGATTTGTGGTCCATTTCCGATCTTCACTGCCTACGTATCAGAAGTATATCCGAAGAAGGGAAGAGATATAGCAGTTTTATCAATGGGATTATACTCTGCCATTGGACAAATATTGCAAGCAGGTCGGTAAAATTATGATTTTTAATGCGAATATAAATTAGATAATTGTATAAAAATTATATTATCAACTCAATAAATTTTATTAACTTATTTATTTAAACTTTATTTCTTATATCAATTTTTTTTTTAAATAGGTATGGCAATGTGGATAATTCCAATTCAAGTTCCCAGTGAGATACCATTCACATCCTGGCAGCTCTTCCAGATGGCTTGCTGCCTACCTGCTCTTATCAGTGGTATCGGATGTATCTTTTTCGTTGAATCTCCAAAATTTTTGGCTGACAAAGGAAATCACGAAGGCGCCCTCAAAGTATGCCAGACTATATATTCTATCAACACTGGTAACCTATCGACTACTTATCCAGTAAGGATTCTAAATCTCTCTATATATTTCTCCTTATTTAAGATTAGTTATATTGATAGAGGATGATCCATTGAATGGATGGAAGGGCTTCAAGTGAGGTCATTTTGATTTTCCTCAGAGAGAGAGGTGGTGCAGGCCCGGTGGATATTAATGATATATTAATAAACAAATATAATTAGGCTGTGATGATTAATTTATTTGTTAAAGGTTCCCTTGAAAATGGCCTAAGGAGCTGAAATATTGGTGTTGAAAATAAAATAAAATAGGATTATGCATTTATATATTACATATATGCATTTATTATTAAATTATTCTTGTTCTAGATAAAAAGGCTGAAACATACAGGGAGGAAGATTGAAGAAAAATCTAATTTCGCAAAGTTCTTAGATGGAATGGACATATTTAGACCTCCATTTATTCAGAAGGCAGCGATAATATTTGTTATCCATTTAGGAGCAGTTGGCTCGTGAGTAAAATATCACAATAACTATTTTCTATTTTTAAAAAAAAATTATCATCATAAAATTATAACCCATCTACGTTATTTATTTTTTAAAAATATATTCTTCCATTTCGTTTGAATCACAAGTTTCTAATTTAAAAAAAAAAAGTATAAATATTATTTTTTTAACAATTTAATTCAAGATAGGATGCTAAGACGCTAAGGAGGACGATCAGTTGAGTTTAAAAATATTGATTAACAAAAAATTTATTTAAGAAAAAAATTGTTTATATCAACATTTGAAGGGAAAAAATGAGCACTGACCACTACAATTCTTTGTTTGAAGACTTAGTGATTTTCCGGTCAATGCTTAATCTATTACCTTACATGCAGAGGTAGATCCAAAGGGTCTAGATGCTATAGAAGAATTTAATAAATAACTTATACATCACTGACAAATTTATATATAATTCATATTGAAGATTGTAAAAAATGCAAAGAATATTTGAATCAAAGATGAATGAATCAACCGGAGAATTTAGACCGTTACACAACACTGAATTGCGTGAATTGTATTTGTTTATATAATTGAGGTGATTACATAGTATCAAATAAAATAGGCATGTAAAATTGTTGTGCTTAGTAACAAAAAAATCCCTAAAAGGTTAATATGAGCTGGAATGAATGGTGAATGTCTGAGGGGTAATAGGAAGCGAAGGTGGGAGGATTGGGTTAATGCTGATCTGGTGAGGTTGGGTTTAAATGGCGGCTGTTGGAGAGAGGTGTGTAGGCAGCGATTGGAACCTTCGGGTCCAAAAAGCTTTAATAAAATGCGAAATTATGAGCTGAATATATGTGTTTTGAGAGTAAATTTAAAATAATTAAATAGTATAAAATGCTACCATTTAGTCTCAAAACTTTCAAATTATTTCCAATTACACACCCAAATCAAGAGGAAGAGGGTACCACAATATCATATTGCCTAGGGCTCCTAAATGTTTAGAGCTGCCACTATAACATAAAATATATTTCAATCACTTTTTACATTGTGAGAGAAACAGAAATTTGAAATTTCATTCAGATTGATCTTTCCATGTATATCTCAAAGAAAAAACAAAAACTACAATACTGAATCTCTCTCTAGTTTGCGAACCACAAAGAATAAAAATATTAAGCTAAGCAAATATTTCATAAACTGAGAAGAAAATAGATTAAATCTATAGGACAAAGCCATTTTGGGTCTCAATTTTCTTTCTATTAACAATGTGCCTCCTATTTCAACTACTTACCAGATCCATAAGTAAAAAAAAAAAGTTAATTACTAAGAAAATATAATAATTATTCTTCTTCAAAGTTACTATTTTGTGTTATGGGAGATGTGAAAGAAATAGATTTTAACAAATTCAATTTAATCATGTAAATAAATTGATACATTAAATATAAATTATTGAATTCCAAGCTGAAAGAGCCTAGCACTGACTGATATTATTCATTGGACAAGAAGTTTTACAAAGAAACCACATGATGAGATATGAATTCATATCAGCTGGTGAAACGATCCATATATATCTAATTCTTTATATACTTAAACAACATTGCTAATCAACTAATTAATCCATATTTAAGTTGGTGAACTCTAATATTTCATAAAACATGTTCTATTTTAATTTAAATTTTAAGATAGTATAATAATAAGCAAAAAAAAAAAAATACATTTAAATGTGACTTCGTTGATTCCAGACACAATATTTTCCGACTATGGCTGCCAGAAATTTTTACACTGGTTGGTTCATCAACATTGGATCCAGAAGAAGGAATATGTCCTCTCCTCTACGAGGGTAACTTGTGGAGAAGCAACTTAACATCAGTAAGATTCAATTGTTAAAGAAAAACATATACATATGTAAAAATGTTAATATAAGATATAATATAAAATATTATTAATCAATTATGATTTTTCAGGCAGATTTGAAAAGTGAAGAAGTTTTTTCAAAAATGGTGCTGGTGAATATTGGATGCCTTATAGCGCAAATAATTTTTTTGTTCATCGTGAGTTACATAGGAAAGAAAATAATACAACGTAAGTGACCAATTATTGTTCAGGTTTATTTTATTAGAATGGAGATTTTTTAGACATAAGAGTTTATGGGATCATATAAAAAGAAATTTTTATTTCAAATTTTTCCAAAAAAATCAATATATTTGAAAGAAGTGAAGTTTAAAACGTCCTTCAACAATGGTTTTGCTCAAATCAGAAAAAAAAAATAGTTGAACAGTTTCAGGAACTTCTATTAAGCAATAAAAAATATATATATTATTGAGATAAAACAAAATATATGATAGCCGAAAAGTCCACCCTAATAGCATGATCTGCATGGACTCTAACTCATTCTCGAAAGTAGACAGATTCAAAGACCTCGGCTCCACAATCTCAATAAATGATCAACTAACAGAGCTAGACCAGCGAATAACAGGCACGAACAGAATTTTCTTCTCTCTTTCAAGGGTACTGAAATTCAGAAAAATCTGCAGGTATCTCATATAATGCCATGATAAAGCCAGTTCTACTGTACAGCTGTGAAATCTGGGCTCTAAAAGGCAGCCTAGAAGGTAGAATTTGGAGATTCGAAAGAAAAGTCCTCCTTATGATAACAGGACCTATCTGGGATCAGATACCTTATAACATTAAGAAGTGCTAAAAGAAACTGGTCAGTCAATATCCCATGATATGAAAGCTAGGAGTTGAAGATGAGCGGGGCATGTAGCTCGAAGCAATCCATCAGGACCCCTTTACACAACAATGAATGCCACAGTAGTAGGCGAGTGATCAAGTGGGATGCTAAAAACCAGATGGATAGATAGAGTCAACAAAAATACGGCTAAGCTTCATGCCGCAAACTGAAAGCAGTAGCCGAAGATAGGTAGAGGTGGAAAAGGTGCCTAAACATTCACTCATTCATTTCCTATTATAACAACTTCTTGAATTGGCAAATATGCCTATGCACAAAACAAAAACAAAATTTTTTTTTAATCCTAACCAAGAGCAAAAAAGTTGTTGTTAAAATCATGCTTTAATTGTAGTTGTTTAAGGAGTTAGAGTGAACCTTGAACTTTTTAAGACAAATTTTTATCGTAAAAATATAAGAATAACTTTCATATTTCGAACTTTTTCTTAATAAGTTTGCTAAATATTCTTAAAATCAAATTTATTTTAAAAAGTTCATGACTCTTTCGACCCCTGGTAATAAGGGTTATAGCAATACGGATTAAATGTTGTAATTCATTAAAAATCACAATATTACAACAAAAATTGAATTTTAAATCAGAATTCAACCATAGTTACTACTTCTTTTCTTCAGATTCATTGTTTCTATAAGCCACTCTGTATATTTATTATTCAATTAATTGTTAATTCAATTGTTTATTATTACCAACATAACGTTATTTCAATGTTATTTTTGCTTTTAAATAATTTATTTTTATTTATGTAAATTCATTTTTACTTTTAGTGAACTGTACCTTGGTGGCTGCAATCTGCTCGTTCATAATACCATTTATTAATGCTGATTATGTGATCATCTTAGCCTCCATTTTTATTTCACTGTTTAATATTAGCATCTTTTGCAACATAAACATAGTAGTAGAAATATTTCCGACAAGAATCAGGTATTATTTTTATTTTTTATAAATAATAAATTAGTAGTTTGAAATGGATGTTATTTTACAAAGTATTATTATATATAATTAGTAGTAGAATATCATGAAAGAGTGTCATATTATTTCTGTTGAAGACTGAAAAAATCTGGTGCAATGCACACAACTTTTACTTACCACCTTCTTTATTTAAACAGAAATAAGTACTTTAAAAAAATTGGAAGTGAAAGTAAAAATTACAATGGTACAAAATATAATTAAATATCTTTTTCTCAGCCACCTAATGTATTATATTTATGAGAAGGAGTTGGTTGGGGGTGCAGTGAAATAAATACTAAATTTTTAAACACTATTTTAAAAATTTAGTATTTATTTGGCACCCCCTCCCCTCCCCCGACCTTCTCATATAATATCATGGTTAACCTTCTCTACATCATCATAACATTTATGGTTTTTCGTCACTAACCATAACATTTTACCACTGTATATTTTAATTTTTTTTTTTTTATTATAATAAATAATTAAGTATTACGAAATAATTTTAGTGAAAAATATTTTTAGTAATAATACAAAATTTTATATTATAAAAATAGTTATCACTGTAATAAGATTTTTTTTTTGACATTATGACTCAGTACTAGGCATTAACACTTCATTTAAATTTACAATATCTATTAATTATTTATATTGTAAAATATCACTGAAATATATATAAATTTTTTTTTTCCAGAGCAACTAGTGTTAGTGTTTTAATGCTTATTTCAAGAATAGGTATGTTATCTTTGAACTTCCTAATGGCAAATGTCATCTACAATTATTGTGACTACTTATTTTACGGGCTGTCATTGTCTTCATTAGGTAAGAAAATATCTTAAAATGTTATAAAAATAATTTTTTTATGTATTATAAAAATACATATTTAAGTATCACATGTGGGAGCAGAGTAGCTCAGTGAGTTAAGCATTGGACCACTAAGCTCTAGGTCCCGGTTTTGATTCCTGCTGATGAAAATATCAGTCGTGGATCGAGTGAGACCCTCCTAGGGCACACCGAGCCTTATTAAAGTGGGTACTCTTTAATAATTGAAATAATTAATTAAGGGTGTATAGATTGATTTATTTGGGAACTTACTCAACCTTTCTTTTTGTCTATACACAATCATTACAGGATGAAAACCTGAAGATTGAGTGTGATCATGGCCTGATCATCTCTCTGCAAAATAGTTGTCCTTGAAACAGTACTTCCTAACAAAGTACTGAATCCAAGACCCTTGGTGGGTTGTAGTAGTACAAGTTTATATATATATATCATTTATACTATTGACATAAATTTACAACCCACAAAACTTTGTTATGGGAACATTTTTAGACATGATAATGAAGAACGGGATGGCCCGAGGTTCCCAAAATATCCGGTTTGGAATGTTGTGGTGTCGATTCTCACCTCAGTCAGTTAATTATTATTTCTTGGCAGCCCTGAGAAATGAATCTTGACACTTTTATTTATTTTACTTTTTGTCCTTCCCTTTCTCGCCTTTTAGGCTAATGGGAGTTTCCCGGACCAGGAGGTGAGGGTGGGGGATTAGTGACCGAGTTAAAATCCCTGCTTGGCACAGGGAGGCGAACTCAGTCTTGTTTTATCACATTATAGAATGTGATGCTGTACACACATGTTAGCCCGTGTACACGTTAGCCCGCTCGGCTACCCCAGCTCTGATCAATCTTGATATTTCCACGCTGGTTAGTATAACCTCTAGATTGCCATTAGGGGTTGGGAAAAAAGACCATATAGTCCACTTGCCAGATCAGATCGCCCTCACCAAGTACCAGCACCAGCACCAGTAATTTGAATAGTAGTTCTGGCACATCCAAAGGACTAAATTAATAATTTTTAAATGATTTTTATTTTCAATAAATTTGATTCAGAAGTTGGTTGGAGTTTGAAGACACAGTATATAAAATAAAATAAAATAAAATAAATACATTTTCTTTTCTTTTGTGCCATCATTTCAGTTTAAGTTTCAGGCCTTTATCAGGGCTCATTGTTTAAAAGATGTTGGGCATGTCCTACAGTTTTTATCTATATTCAACTATTTCTATCTCATTAATAAATATTAAGTTTTTGAAATTGTATTTATTTATTTAGTTCGCCCCTACTCCAAAGGATCAAGGGCGTATTACTTACATAAATCTCAATTTTATGTTCTGTGATAGAATTTTACTTTTCTTAAATATTTAAACAGTTTTCCATCTCTTTTTCATCATCTTGGAAGATTTCTTCCGTTGTTGTTCTGATTTTTAAGTTTTGTCACAATACAGTGTAGGAACTACATTCTAAATGTATGTACTTCACAGTTCTAGTTACTTGTTTTTTAAATAGTAAAACCAATTTATTTTCAGTAAATTTGGACATTTTAAAAATATAAAATTTTAATTACATTATTTTTTTTATAATGACTCATTGGATCAGGTATAATTCATCCGAAACACTATTTCCTTCAAAATATGTTAAGAAAACCATAAATAGAAATATATTAGTTTAGTAAATTTCCTGGATTACTTGTTTATTGATAAATATTACAATCTGTCTCAATAAAGGACATTTATAATAGAATTCAGAGAGCACATTCACACCATAAGTTTAGTAAATTAAAAAATATTGATTAATTTAGATTTGCCATATAGCCTGCATATTATACCAGAAATAGTAATTATCAATAAAACGAAATAAAATTTAAGTTGATTCAATTTTAATTATAACAATTTGTTTCAGTAATGGCACTGCTAATACTTCTGATACCACGGAAGCCGATAGATGATAATTTTTCAAACTCTTCAACAAAAGGAAACTAACAATGTATCCAGTCCCATGGACACTATAAAAGTTCACTATATAAATTTTAATTCTAAAATTTTAAAATGCCAACTTATTCTAAATAATGATTTGTTTTGAAAAAGCATAACATTTTCAATTTTATTTTTCATAATTGTACATAGAAATAAGAATTAAAGAAAAAAAGAAGAAGTGTACTTATATTGACTTAAATATGATAAAAGGTCTGACATAAATTAAAAGCAAAATCTCTTGAAATATATAACTCAAGAAATGAAATCCCAAGGTCAGAACGACAAAGGGAATATGTAAAATATAAAATAATTTTTTTATACTTAAATATTTAGTTTTTATAGTATTAATAAAAATCATTAATAATTATGTAGATTTTATTTCACCTGTCACTATAAGTTTTAAGGAATTATCTCTGAGAAAGAAATTAGGACATGAAATATAAGTGAAAAATCCTATAATCTAATAATTATGTACTAATTCATTTTATTATTCAGTGTGTGTATTAGTTCTGAATCATTATTTCACGATGACAGATGATTTAAAGATCACATCGATCACACTGTAGATTGAATTCTGAAACCATCTGAGAACATCAAAAAGTAAATAGTTACAACCTATCTCCAACCCTTTGTATTGAGTAAAAGATGACATTTGTCTGTTCCATTCAAAATAACCACCAAGTAACACTTAGGAAAATGTAATCATAAAATGATTTCCTTAACTGATATTTCAAGAAAGCGATAGTTTAAATGGCAGAACTTGTGTCAAAGTTAGAGAACCCTTATTATATACTAATAAGATAAAACAAATAAAATGATAATTTATGCAATTAATGAAACAGCCCTACCTAAAAGAAATGAAATATCAACTTCAGCTTTAATATAAAATAATATTCAATCCCATTAATATTAATTTGTATTAAAGTTATAATTTTAAAGCTGAAAAAACAAAACAAATACTAACATTCATTTTAAGAAATAATCAAACCTGGTATTTCAGAGCATTGAACACTGTGAAAAAGTGGGTTGGCAACACAATGTATAAAATAGGTCTATTCTAGGTTGTCCGATTAAATAAACAGGATAACTAAAAAAAAAAATTTAAATAATTAAAAGAATGTAACTAATTATTATTAAAAAAATAAATAATATATATATACATACATACATATATACACACATATATCTCTTTAAAATAATTGAACCTTCACAAACATATAACTAGAGCACAAAAAGTTCAACAGGGACCAAATTATATAAGTACAGAAATTGCATTATTTAAAATTAATGAAATTTACTATATTTATATCATTTTATATTAGATATTTAATATACCTAACTAATTTTGATAATTAGTTAAAAGTAAAACAAATTAAGATTAGATGAAAATAATCCAAATATATAGCACATATCACATTAATAATAATCGAATATTTCTATCAAATTCAAATATTAAAAAAAAGAACTAATTAATGAAATTTTCATTAGTTGAAAACTTCCTGAAAAATTGATACCAAAAATATTAATGACAATACACAGAATATATTTTAAAAAGGACTGAAAAGGAAAAAACTAGAAGGATTAGCGGATCCAGAATTTAACTTTATATATATATATATAAATATATATATATAAAATGATTATTATTTTGGAAGAAAAAGAAAGAAACTAACTACCTCAATGAAACGATGTTAAAGTGATTGTAGAAGTCCTATTAAATGTAATTGAACGAAAATAATACTTTTAGAGATAATGTTTTCATAAGGCATGGTTATATTTTACCATTTTGAGGGTGAGGGGGGGGAGGAGGGAGGCTTCAGCCTGAAAGTGGTGTGTGGCGGTTGTAGTAAAATTTATTAGAAATAATAGTACAATTATTATTGAACTGCCTTTTTGATGTTTACAAAGTAATTTAGATTTGCACCAATCTAAAGTGCAAAAGGACACCAAACTCATTTGTACATAGTGAAGATGTATTATTTTTTAAGGACAACTCAGAAACAGATAGTCTTTCAACAGCTAAATATGATGAATTCAAATTTGTAAGCTTTATAAAATTCTTCAAAAGAAGAAAGTTTTAATAATCTAAGTCAAGAAGTTGCGTTCTATGATATTAATCTTTTAATAATAATTACAAAGCTAATTTGTTGATGTTTACAAAGTAAATTAGAGCTTTTAAGTATTGAAATTCACCAATCTAAAGTGCAAAAGGATTCTAATCTAAGTTGAGAGGTATTGTTTAATGATAACTAAGAAAGGATAGTTCTTAAACACTAAAGAATAATACTTTCAACAGTTGTAAGTTGTATAAAATCTACATAACTGAAAAAGTTCTACAAGATGAAGTCAAGAAGTTGCATTCTATGATGCTAATCTTTTCATAATTAATAAAAAGCCAGTAACTTTATAACTTCTTAATTTTTATTAAAATGAAGTATAGATATGTTATATAATAAATATGTAATATCTTAACATATTTCAGTTGCATACTTAATAAAAGGCTTTGATTCAGTTTAATTGGTAAATTTAATATTTGATAGGGACCTGGGAACATTACCTCTAAGGTTCATAATGGAATAATGATGATTCAAAAAGTTTTAAAAATAAAAGTTCAATTCAAAAGTTTACTTCATACTTAATGTAACAGGTAAAATGATTTGAGGGAAGCAAATAAGAATTTATGGATGTGTTACCGACCCAACATCTTGAATCCAAAACTGGAAACTATGAAGATAAATATCGTTATGATTTGTAGCCGATACAAATAATGAAACAACTCCGAATAATTTAACACTCAATACATTCAAAGATTCGGCACTACCGAATAACTGATAAGGTTTGAGCGCGAAAACCTTAAGGCTGTTGCAAGTAATTTCATTATTGCTTCCTGGAATTCACTTGCCCGGTCGAGAAAAGAATTTAATTACCAACTGTCAATATAATAAAAATAATAATTTTAAAATCTCGAATTTCATTTTATTTATTTTAAATCGTTAGGTAACTACGAATAACATTAAAAGTAAAAAAATAAATACTTAAAATGAACTAACTTAAGATTAAAGAGCTTAATATCTGAAAAAAAATTTTCAACTGTAAAATTATCTGCATTGAATACTTATTTTGAAAAAGAGAAAGCTAATATTTTATGCTTACTTTAGGGAAATTTATTTAAAAAAAAAAAAATATATTAATTTTCATATGCTCATCATAATTCAGTTACATTTGATTTCACACATCCTATTTCCCGCCCTGTTTAGCTAGTTAAATAATTGCTTGGCTCATTTAGAACAGGGATCTCCAAATTACGACTAGCGAGCACATACAATCTGGCCCGCGTAAGTTTTTCGATTTCAAGGTACAAATTTTAAAAATATGAAATTTAGTAAATAACTCAAACACAAAGTTATTACAATATTTGTTGTATGCTTTGTTTCTCTTGCTCTATCTATAGTAAAAGTAAGTTCATGGAAATATATTCATTATACCAATACAATGATTTGTTTCCAATTTAATTGATTTCTTTTCTTTATAGGAATAAATAAACAGGATATGGATTTCGGCTAGTGTTATTATGAACTGAATCGTGTTTATACTAAGAAATCTTGGTGAGTAAATAAAATAATGATAACATATTTTCATATAATAATTTTTATATATTTAAGAATTCTATGATGTGAATGATAGTGCAGTTCTATTAGAGTGAAATATTTCCAATCTGGGAGATAAAATTCTTATTAAGGTGCGTTAAAAATTTCACAAACTCTGGGCAACACAATTAACTAATAGTGACATTAGCGCTGTCTAACTTTTTTTTCCCTTGCTACCGACAGCAGATGGAAAACAATAAAAACAAGAAAAAAAAATAGCATTGAGAAATATTTGTATAAAAGCATTTAAATATTTTTTTTTTTCATAGTTTGTGAAATGTCGACGCATCTTTAGGAAAAGGCGTCTACTGAATGTTTGGCATCGGTGATTATTTGAAGTTTAGTCTACTTTTCAAGTACGAATCAATTTTTGAAAATAATTAAATTTTCTTCTATGATTTATCAGTTCAAGGAACTTGATATGTGCTTAAGAGCTTAAAAAAAGTCATGAAGGAAACGTAATTTTATTTGCACTGTACAGATAAATTGTGAACACATAATTATTGTTAAAATTATACACATTATTGTTCACTATTAGAAACGTTTCTGAATTCTTTACAAAACGAAAAACTAATAATCGAAGTTGGACTAATATGTTAGAAAAGGTGCAGCTAATAATAATGTTTTGGTCTGTTATATTGAATGAGCCGTTGATAATCAACCAAGGAAATAAATTGGTTAAAGTATACTTTCAATATACTTATTTCCAAATTATATTACCGGTTTTTAACTGACTAATAAGAGACAAGTTCTTAAACTCAACGTTGAACTCATGGATGGCATCGCATTCATCTTTAAACTGGATGAAACGTTCCCATCGATGATATCAGCGCTGAGTTTGAAAACTTGCCCATTATTCGCACAATACAAATAGTTGATAGCTTTCTATAGCTAACAGATAACAGATAACAGCTAAATTAGCTATTAGCGGGCAGATAATTCTGCAACTAAATTAGCTATTAGCGGGACCAAGCCGCTAACTTTTAGCGCAAGTTAACTTTTAGCTGTTCTTACCGCTAACCGCTAATTATCTTTATCTGTATCTTCAACTAAAAGCTAATAGCTAATTCTTCGGATTTCATTGGTCTTAGAGTCGACTATTACGTTTTGGGGGGCGCTTTTTATGAAAATAATGTCGGATTTTAGGTGTGACCTCCTCCCCCCCCCCCGGGCACCGACTTATCGTAACTTTTCTGATTTTATCGATATATGGGTCGACTATTAGGTTTTGGGGGGCGCTTTTTATGAAAATAATGTCGGATTTTAGGTGTGACCCCTCCTCCCCCCCCCCGGGCACCGACTTATCGTAACTTTTCTGATTTTATCGATATATGGGTCGACTATTAGGTTTTGGGGGGCGCTTTTTATGAAAATAATGTCGGATTTTAGGTGTGACCTCCTCCCTCCCCCCCCCGGGCACCGACTTATCGTAACTTTTCTGATTTTATCGATATATGGGTCGACTATTAGGTTTTGGGGGGCGCTTTTTATGAAAATAATGTCGGATTTTAGGTGTGACCTCCTCCCCCTCCCCCCCGGGCACCGACTTATCGTAACTTTTCTGATTTTATCGATATATGGGTCGACTATTAGGTTTTGGGGGGCGCTTTTTATGAAAATAATGTCGGATTTTAGGTGTGACCCCTCCTCCCCCCCCCCGGGCACCGACTTATCGTAACTTTTCTGATTTTATCGATATATGGGTCGACTATTAGGTTTTGGGGGGCGCTTTTTATGAAAATAATGTCGGATTTTAGGTGTGACCCCCCTCCCCCCCCGGGCACCGACTTTTCGTAACTTTTCTGATTTTATCGATATATGGGTCGACTATTAGGTTTTGGGGGGCGCTTTTTATGAAAATAATGTCGGATTTTAGGTGTGACACCCCTCCCCCCCCGGGCACCGACTTTTTGTAACTTTTCTGATTTAATCGATATCAGGGCCGACTATTAGGTTTTGGGGGGCGCTTTTTATGAAAATAATGTCGGATTTTAGGTGTGACCCCCTCCTCTCCCCCCGGGCACCGACTTATCGTAACTTTTCTGATTTTATCGATATATGGGTCGACTATTAGGTTTTGGGGGGCGCTTTTTATGAAAATAATGTCGGAATTTAGGTGTGACACCCCTCCCCCCCGAGCACCGACTTTTTTTAACTTTTCTGATTTAATCGATATCAGGACCGACTCTTAGGTTTTGGGAGGCGCTTTTTATGAAAATAATGTCGGATTTTAGGTGTGACCCCTCCCCCTCCCACCTACCAGCACCGACTTTTGTAACTTTTCTGATTTAATCGATATCAGGGCCGACTATTAGGTTATGGGGGGCGCTTTTTATGAAAGTAATGTCGGATTTTAGGTTTAATCCCTCCCCCCCCCCCCGAGCACCGACTTTTTGTAACTTTTTTGATTAAATCGATATCAGGGTCAACTTTTACGTTTTGGGGGGAGGCGCTTTTTATTAAAATGATATCAAATTTGATATCATTTTCATAAAAAGCTCCCCCCCAAAAAACGTAAGAGTTGACCCTGATATCGATTTAATCAAAAAAGTTAAAAAAAGTCGTGCCAGGGGGGCCCAATCTCAAATTTGGGCCCAATCATTTTCATAAAATATTTCCCTCCGAAACATAATAGTCGACCCTAATAACGATCTAATCGGAAAAGTAAAAAAAAGTCGAGGCCCGGGGAGCCCAATCTCAAATTCGATATCATTTTCATAAAAAGCGCTCCCGAAAACATAAGAGTAGACCCTAATATCGATTAAATCAAAAAGGTTAAAAAAAGTCGAGGCCCCCGGGGGGTCACACCTAAAATCCGACATTATTTTCATAAAAAGCGTCCCCCAAAACCTAATATTCGACCCATATATCGATTAAATCAGAAAAGTTACAAAAAGTCGGTGGCCGAGAGGGGAGGGGTCACACCTAAAATCTGTCATTATTTTCATAAAAAGCGCCCCCCAAAACCTAATAGTCGACCCATATATTGATAAAATCAGAAAAGTTACAAAATGTCGGTGCCCGGTTGGGGAGGGGGGGGGGTGTAGGTCTCACCTAAAATCCGTCATTATTTTCATAAAAAGCGCCCCAGAAAACCTAATAGTCAACCCATATATCGATTAAATCAGAAAAGTTACAAAAAGTCGGTGCCCGGGGGCACTATTTAAAATCCGATAGAATTTTCATAAAAATCGCCCCTGATTACATAACAGTCGATCCTTATATCAATTTATAAAAAAAAATAAAAAAAAATTTTCTAGTGTTAGCGCTATGTTAGCTTTTAGTTAAGTTAATAGATAATTTAGCTTAAGCTAAAAGTTAGCGGTTCGTTTCCGCTAATAGCTAATTTAGCGCTAAAGTTATCTGCGCTAAAACAGCTGGAAGCTAAATTAGCTTAATATTTAGCGCCGCTAATTTTAGCTATTTAGCGGTACGTTAGCTAGTTAAAAATTAGCGCGCTAACTGATAGCTTATAATTAAAAATCTAAATATATAGTTCGTTTATATTTATTAAAAAAAAAAAAGAAACTATTCCAAATTTTCTGAATGTTTTGAAAACCTGCAGCTCATTATGAACAGTATGGTGAAGTTGGTACATACGATTTCGACTATATCAATCCTTTAGAATTTAACAGGACTTTCAATAACCAATATTAATTTTGCATTAAACTCTTTAGTTAAACATGTTTAGTATATTTGTATCCAGTTGAATTATTATGGTTATACGTTATCATTAAAAATTTACATATATTCAGTAAGTGGTACAATTTGAGTGAAATTATGTTTTATATTAAAAAAAATTTGAAAATACACAAGATAGCCCAATTAAACTTATATAAATATAATCATTGGTAATTATGTATATGATACAATCACTTCGGTCATACTTGTTCACGAAACGCCGAAGACATTCTTTCTTCAAATAAACCCAGATGAATTTGGCACTCCATGAACAAGTGTGATTAAGTGATTGTGAACCATGCGTAACCTGTGCGGTCATTGTCTAAATGGTTACAAATGGTAATTATTTAGATAAGGACAACAAGGGTTATGCGTGGTTCACAATCATTTCGATCACATTTGTTCATGAAATACGAATAACAGTCTTTCTTCAAATAAACCCGGATTCATTTGGTACTCCATGAACAAGTGTGATCAAATGATTGTGAACCATTCTTAACCTGTGTGGTTATCATCTAAATAATTACATAACCATTATATCTACTTAGCTTTTAATTACACATAAGCAATATTAAAGATTGTATTGGCTGGAAGAAGCAACTAAGCTGCCACTTTTGTGGTAATGTTTATTATGAAGGGAAGATTCCTAAAGTCAATGCAGAGCCCTTCATAGACATTATTTAGTCCTGTTTAGAGACTGATCTGATGCTGTTGATGAGTTCAGCACTGAATTTAGGAACTTGTCCAATGTAAAAAATGAAGACTGATGAAGGAATCATTTCAAAAGAAGCCTTGGCTTTATTCCTTTAAATAATCTAAGTTAGGTACCTAGACATGGTGGTACTTAATATTGCAATGGCAACTCAAATACTGTTATTGAACTTAAAAAGATGTATATTTTTTTGCTAAAATTTTCATTAAAGAAAAATATTAAAATCTTCTAAAGAACTCTGTAAACACTGTATAACTTCTTGTTAAATGTTTTAGTCTGGAACTGTAAGCTTTTGGATTGACAGAATCAGCTGCCGAATACTACGACTGATGAAGATGCTATAGATCTGGATAAACAGGTAATAAAATGAAACATATTTCAATTACAAAAAAATAGGTGGTTAACTTAAATATCAATATTTAAATTAATGGCAGATTTAGGTTTTTTATTTTTATTTCATTTTGTTAGGTCTTCTATTGTTAAAGCGGTAATTAGCACTTCAACATCATGTTAAAAAAATTATATTGCAAGAAGTAAAATAAAATAAATATGCTTGTAAATTTTATTATTTTAAGGAAACTTGAGATCTGGCTCACAAATATTACTTTTTATTCTTGACCATAATAATAATTTTTTCAATTTTACTTTTATAATTAATATAAAATTTATTTATTTATATGGGGTAAACCCAGTTACAAATAAGACTATTTAAACTTATGAACATAAAAAATCAATAAAATATGTAATAATTAATATAATACAAAATATAGACAACATTAACTTAACAAGAATAAAATAAAACTTAATGTATAGGTAATATACAGTGAAAAAAATAAACAAGTAATACTATTACAAATTACACAATATGGTATAAAATTAGAATATATTTGAGGGAAGTACAAAATTAATTATTCTTATGAATAGAGCTTTACTTCCCTTTTATGGGACTGGTTTGATGATCATCTTCTATAGGTTTCTTTGATATTATAAGTATTAGCCCTGCAATAACTAAAAGGAGCTTTATTAATTATAACTAAATTTTTCTTGCTTATTGTATTTCTTTTAGTAAGATTACTAAAAATATACTTGATACTAGTTCAGTGTCATGCCTAATTGACAGATGGTAGTCAAGATCACATTGATTAAGTTGTAATGGAATTTTGAAATTAGCTGACAATTATATTCAGGCATGGATTTGCTACACTTGCAAAAGGGATAAACCCCAAACTTGTCTTTTAAATTAAGCTTGGGGCCTTATTAATTAATCACTAATCTCTGTTTGACACAGTAAGCAATTTTTGGGATTCTACATACAGTTTGATTTATGTGATTTTGATCCAGTTATCAACTAGACGTGAGTCGTTTGTAGTAGGACTTTAAGAATTTTGAAATCAACTTACCCAATCCAAACAGTGACAACCCATAAAATAAGTATTCACAATAAATATAAATGAAGTTTGCCATAAGAAAGTTCAAAGGTAATATACCCATCCTTGAAGTTAACATTAAAAAACTAATGCTAGTCGCTCTGCAAATGAAATTTATATCAATTTAATAATTATTAAAAAATAAATACATAAAATATATGAAAAATATAAATAAATGAATTCTTTTTTGGCCTGTGACTGAAGTTCAAGCTAATAAAAATTGAAGGAACACATTTTTTTTTTCTAAATGAAAAATAAAAAAGGGATTTACCTGATTTAAAAGGAAATAAGCTAAAAATTAAATTTAAAACTCAGTATCTTAAAACAAAATGTATAGAATAGATTTGAAGAGTTGTTAAATGCCTGAAGAAATTGTTACTAAAAAAATAATAGGTTCAAAAAATGCTGCATGCTTATATATCAACTAATGAATGAAAGTATGATAGAATTTAAAACAACAGTTTATTAGATCTTTACAGAAAAAGTTTGGAGAAGATAAAATTTTATAAATACAAAATTAATAGCTAACTTCCAGCATTAAAATACTCTTAGCAATAAATAAGCTTTAATTAATTCAATAGAATAGCTTTTTCTAAAATGAATATAGAAGAGTTGTCCACAAACTGTATATATCATTAATAATGAGTAAAGTTTGAAAATACCTGATTCTTGTTGGAAATATTTCTACAACCATTTTTATGATGCAAGTGATGCACATATCATACAGGGTAAAAAAAACTGACACTACGATGAATACATAACTAGCACTTATAAATGGTATTATCAAGGCACATGTTGCGGCCATCAAGCTACAGATAACTAAAAGTAAAAATAAATTTTGTAAAGTTAATTTATTTTAAATAAAATGAAAAATTAATATTTATTCATGGATATTCAATCTCTAAGAATAACAAAAATATATAGTTCAAGCAGCATATGTCTGGCTGCATTATAGAAACATTCTTAACTATTAAGGAAAAAATAATATCTGATATCTAAATCAAATCAGTTTTAATATCAACCTTTTAATTTATGTTTAATACCTACAAATAAAATCATTGTATTAAATACATAAATGAAACTAGATAATATAAAAGAAATCCTTAGAATTCATTTCTGATATCTTAAACTATTTGAAACTGTTGTCATGCAGAATTTGTAGCGATATGCTAATTCGTGTAAATTTAATTTTATGATGTTAATGGAATATATGAAAAAACTTAGTATTTACGATTTATTTAAAAAAAAGAGTTGTGACATTTTAAAGAAGAAAAAAAAAATGTCTTAAAATTCCAGGTCTTTCCGTAAAATACAAAAAACTTTTACCCTCTGATTAAAGAAAAAGCTTTTGAAGTTGCTTTCATTAATATAATGATTAAACTTTGAAATAAACCTTGAAAATGATGTAATATTATATTTTTGGGAATAATAATGAACGCCTCCATATTCAATGAAACCCATGACACTTAAATAACATCCTTCATAAAGGATTTATATTTTGGCAACCATATAAATGGTTTCATTTTTAATTTTATTAAATTTTGAATCTTTATTAAGAGTGCTATTCAGAAGCAATAGAACAGGCTAGTTAAGAGGGTAAAATATGTAATCGAAAGCCTACAGAAAAAAAAAAAAAAATGAAAATTAGATATGGACAAATTAAAGAATTTCCCAATTACAACTATTTATTCGATCCTGCTTGTGATTTCTTTAACGAAACATTCACTATTTAAAAATACATGATTACCAATTGTATAACTTACTTTGCATTGCTTTTATTCCTATGCATGAGAAGGTGCACAAGAGAACTATGTGCCCTATGAGACAACCACTATTCACCAACATCATTGTTGAAAAAACATCCCTGCTGTGCAAATTTGTCTGAAGAATTTTATTTAATTAACAATATTTTTATTTTACATGTTATAATAACTCAGTAATAAAAACATTTAATTTACTGATGATAAGTTTCCTCGCATTGAGTTGCCTTCTTCAAGGAGTGGACAAAGCCCTAGGTTTGGGTCTAAAGTCGATTTACTGACAAATGTAAGCATTTCTGGTAGCCATAGTCGCAGAGTACTAAATCTGGAATCAATCATGATATTGTTTACTTATCTTTTTAGTAAATCAAATTGATGGTAAATCATTAAATGGGTCAATTGTTCATGCTCATTTTTTAAACACATTTCTTTATTGAATAGTATTATATTACAATGAAATGAAAAAATAAATAGGTACGGAAGTTTGAAAATCAAGTAGGTGGTGAAATAAGAGTTGCTTGAAGGAATTTAACGATGAGAATTGCCGTGTGGTGATAGGTAAAGAATTCCAGAAGGATGTAGCATGAATGACGAAGGATGTAATTTTATGAGAAGGTATATATAAATCAATAGGTTGAGATCTGGTATTAACAGAGTGGGTAGAAGGACGTAGAGTGAGGAGTTACATGATATAGGGATGATTTTTGGTTCCTAGGATCTGGAAAAGGAAAACACCAAGAAGAAATTGCCATTGGGAAGTAGGATAGAGTCACTTAAACTTGGTATACCATTGGGAATCTTATAATTATCTCCAGGGAATGAATCTTATAAAACCATTCATAAGTTTCTTCAATTTCATCTCCTGCCTTTCAGGCAGCCCTCCATACACCAAGCAACTGTAATCAAAGTGGGGAAAAACGAGAGAGGTTTCAAGGAGCTGTCTGGTTTCTTGAGGAATAAAATCACGGAATCTTAGGAATTGTTTAAGGACAGTTATGGATTTTCGGGTTATCTGGGAAATATGGTTATTCCAGGAAAGGTTCTGATCAAAGATAACAGCTAGGTTTTTGACTGTTGGGAAAGAATGGATGGGACTGTTATTGAGGTAGAGTAGAGGAGAATAAGGAAGGAAACTAATGAGATGCCTGGAACCGATGAGAATAGTCTTAGTTTTATATGTGTTCAGCTTTAACTCATTTTGTCACTAAGGATATTAGTAAATAGTGATACAGAAGTTCATTCACACCGTATGTACAATAAATAAATATAAATTAAATTGAACAACAGCAAAATAATAGTACTAAAATATATCTAAAATAAATATATCTAAACTAATCAAATCAACACTTAAATACAGGCATACTTTTGTAAAATTCATTCACCCAAGAGAACTTTGCTGCAAGCCTTCCTCCTCCCCAACTTGTGAGAGAAAAAGCTGGACTCTAAGAGATCTAGCACCTGTCACTCAGTTGGATCACTAGTATTAAGGACCAATAGAGGCTGAGCAGAGAGGCTATGACCACAGACATGGAGACAAGACAAATCAAAACACAAGTGGGATCATGGAATAGACCACAAGATGTGTAATGGTATATTATCTACAAATATTCAAATTATACTTTTGTTTGCCCTGTTTTAAGAAAATAACATTATAAGAAAATCCTTGGGGAGGGGAGCACTCCTGCAAATAATAAATACTAATGTTACAGTCAACTGTATTATATTTCTTACTGATACTACTTACGAGCCAACAGCTAAAATATTAATCGAGAATAATACCACTGCTCTCTGTACAAAAGGTGGTTTAAGTATATCTAATCCTTCTAGCAACTTTGATAATTTAGATTTATTCTCATAATCAGTTGTCCTACTCGTATTATTCAGCCTCTTTACCTGGAATGATAAGTTGTTTTGGTAGATTTGTATAGAACAAGTTCTTAAGGCATCAAGATAAATAATACTGAGTGGTACTAAATTATTACCGGGTAAGCAGAAGATCTGTTGCCAGTATTGATGGTATATATAGTCTGGCACACTTTGAGGGCACCTTCATGATTGCCTTTGTCAGCTAAGAATTTTGGTGATTCGACAAAAAAAAGGCAACCTATCCCACTGATGAGAGAAGGCAAAGCGCTAGCCATCTGGAAGAGCTGCCAGGATTTGAAGGGTATCTCACTGGGGACTTCAATTGGAATTATCCACATTGCTAGACCTGTTTGAAATAAAATTTAAAGTTTAGGTTACTTCGTTAATTTTGGAAATACAGAATGCGGCAACATGAGGGCGGGGTGGGCGAGCCGGCAAATGCATGCGAAACAGCACCGCATTGCTTGACAATCTAATGGAAGATAATTTCATAAATTAATTATCAATTCGTGTCTTGGTACCGGGAGAGGGCTTTTTAACTCTTGCATTAATCTCCTGCCCTCACCCTTTGTCCGGGAAACCTCGTATAGCCTAAAAAACGAGGAAGTGGAGGACAACATAACTTCGTCATTTGAAATGCGTGACATTTAATCTGATTATACTTACTTGCTTGTAATACTTGTCCAGTTGCGGAGGAGAACCCGGTCGACAAGATCACTGTGTCTCTTCCCTTCTTTGGGTATATTTCTGCGATGTAGGCAGTGAAGATTGGAGATAGACCACAAATCCTGTAAGATTATTTGTTTTTGTTATATTTTATTTTTTAGATATACCATATATTCAATTAGAATGTATTGAAATCATTATATACGAACATTAATCCTGCTAGAAACTTGAAGAGCATCATCAGTGGAAAGATCGGGAATGCTCCCGCCAGGAAATTCATGAGGGCGTCCACAAGATATCCAATGACCAGCAATTTCTTCCTACCGAAAGCATCCGACAAGGGACCCCATATGAATCCTCCTATTATCATTCCTTGAAATATACAACAATCAGTATGATAGCAGGCTGATTTTCAGAAAAAAAAGTTGCTATTACATCTCAGTCATAAACATACTCTAAACACATAATATCAGTTTTGTATGACTTTTTGTTTTTGAGCTAGACTGTTCACATACCATTTTTTGGGACTTGACTCAGGGGACCCCAAACATATTTCCGTTGAAAACTTGGATTCGAAAATTTTCGTTATCACAATACTTTCTCTTACTATTTATTACATATAAAGATAAGTGAAAATAAAGATTTAAAATTTAATTTGAAACTTTTTTATTATTTATTATTATTGCTTCTTTTTTTTTTTTTGTACCTGCATAGCATGATGACTGGAGAAGAGCCCCTTGAGACAGCGTGAGGTCCAAGTCCACTGAAGCTGCAGGCATCGCGAAAGACATAGAACTTGTGTCGAAGCTGCTGGTGCATGATGCCGGAAATGTGAGTACTAGTAGGGCTAAGTTGAACTTTCCACAACCTATATAAATATATTTTTAAGGTATATACTAAAAGTTGCTGATCATAATAATAATGAAAATTTCCAAGCCACATTTATAAAAATAGTAATACTTTATTTGTTGTGGGACAAGTCCCTTTGGGGGTTAAAGGACCTCAGAGACACATAAAAAATAATCACAAAGTAAATAAACAGTCATAATAAAAAAAATATAAGTTACTTTCTAAATTTAATTAATTAATAATAATAATAATGAAAAATTAAAAAAACAAAGTAAAAATGAGAAGGAGTTGGTCGGGGGGTGCGGTCAAATAAATACTATATATTAAAATAGTATTTATTTGACCGCACCCTTCTCATATTATAATCATGATCAACCATTTCTACACCATTGTGAAGTAAAAATAATTAAGAACGATCTAATAATTTATAACATATTTACAGTAATATCTATTTATAATTTTATGGGTATTGGATGGATAAGAAATTATTGAACAGGCAGGATTTTAAAGTAGGGAGGGTATTGGAGGGAGGAATTTAGGAAGGGATGGAGTTCGATAGGGATGATGATCGAATAATGAACGATCTGTCGAAAGCAGTAGTTCGGTGAGCCCTTGTATATAAATCTGAAGACTAGGAACGGGTATCACGGGAACGAACAGAGGATTTGAATTGAAGGAGTTCGGAGATGTATAAGGGATAGCGGGATTGGATGACTGAAGAGGAAGGATGCCAGCAAATACTTAGGAAGGAAAAAGCCACTTCAACTCTTCATAAAAGCGGGAAACAGAGAGGTTTTTGGAATCTCGAAGATGCATCATATACAGAAATTTATCAAACATTTTAGTTTAGGTAAACGAATGAAAGTAGGTGACGGATATAATTCAGACGTTTTATGATAGAAAAGGTATGGCGGGAGATATTGGATATATGTTTTTCCCAGGAATGCATTTGATCAAAGGTTATTTAAAGGTTTTTGATGGTGGTATAAATTTAAAACATTTTATTAAGAAAAATGTGTTATATAATTTGGTTTTCACACAAAATAAAAATTACCAGCTTTTGCGAGGGCTGTTTCTAAGTCTGCTGCTGAAAAGGTACTATTTGATCCTGAAAAAAAAGAAACAATACAACATATTTCAAAAAATATCTCTTTGTTATTGTATGAAGTAATAAGTTGAAGGAGGTGTGGCTATTAAATAATTAGATTGATGCTGTAAAACATTTTATTTTGATTTCATACATATTTACTTATTATAACCTCCAATGTACATCCCTCTTCTATCACTACAACATTCTATGTGAATCTTCCATTGTTTAAAATATTGTTAGAAGTCTTCTTCTGTAAGCTTCTTCAGGAAGCGTGCCGCATTCTCTTTCACAACTTCAATGGACTTAATTTTTTTTTCCTTTTAATGAAGATTGATGAATCCTATTTTTTTACTTATTAACCTGAAACGAAGCACCAATCCATTGGTGGAGGCGTTGGAAGTGGAGCTTTGGAAGAGGCCAACTTGACCGAGAACCTTTTTGTTTCAATAGTTTGGTGAATAATAATAATAATGAATAATATTTTGGTTCGATAATTTGAGTAATGCTGAAAATACTTTGAGTAAATCAAAATGCAAAGTTTTTTCGATATGGATAGGATTGTAGGAGTAATATCAGACCTCAAGAGCTAAAAAAATATTCATATAAACAATGTTGTACCTATTTTCCACAGTAAAGGAAATCCAAGTTTTTTGTTTTTTTAAGTAAGTCATGTTTTTTGGTGAATTGGAATCGATAATTAAAGAAATATTTAATTTAAGTAATTAACAATTGTTTCACTGTAAATTAGACAGTTTTGTTTAAAATGAAAATGGAGCTTGTCATTGTTAAAACCATTTAAAGAGCGAAATTTTTTTATCATCATCCAACTATACTACAGAGACTAAACTTTTACAAAATTTAACCCGTTGAATAAGCTTTAAATCCTTATTAATTAAAATGAGGTTTATTAATCAAAAATTTGAGATTCATCTCAAGTTTTGTAAAAAAATTATGTGATTTCTTCTTATCCTGTCTCCTAAAAGTACTCGTCTTTTTAAGAGAAAATTACAACAATTAACTGTTCCAAAGCTTTTATTTATTGTTTTTCTATGGTTTTGGATGTATTATAATAAACAAAATTGCCTAAATACACTTTTTATTTATAAAAAAAAAGCAAATAATAGAAATAATGATTTTTCATCTCAAGTGTTTCCGAAACTGTGTTCTTCTCCCAGATCTCTATCAAAGAAATTGATCTGTATTTATATGTGACCAACATAATGTTTCTGATTAGAATATTTACGTTTTCACAAAAATAATTGAAGCAATCAGCAGGTTGCTTTGTTTTAAAAATCCCTATGACCGAGACTTGAGAAAAAAACTCAGTTTCATAACCATTTTACTTGAAAATATTCGAAAAATCATTATTTTTAACATTGTTTAAAAATATTAAAAAAGCCAGTATTTAGGTAATTTTGTTTATAATATTACATCCGAGATAATGGAAAACAAGAAATAAAAGCTTTGCAATAGTTAATTTTAATCTTTTTTTCTGAAAACACGAGTACTTTTAGCAGAGAGAGGATAAGAAATTACATAATTTTTTTACACAACTTGGGTAAATCTCAAATTTTTGCTTAATAAACTTCAATTTAATTGATAAGGATTTAAAGCTTATTCAACTGGGTAAATTTTGTAAAAATTTGGTATCTTTAGTATAGTTGGATGATGATACAAAAAAAATCACAATATTTTTTATGATTTTTTAGAAAATATAATTAAGCTTTAACCATTTAAGACCCTTTTAAATGGTTTTAACCATGAAAAAATATATTTTAATTTGAAGTAAGTTTTGTCTAGTTTACAGTAAAGCAACTTTTATTTACATAATTAAATAGTTCTTTAGTTATCGCTTCCTATTCAACGAAAAACATGACACTTTAAAAAATTAACTTGGATTTACTACTTTACCGCTGAAAATTGAGCCATTGTTTATATGAACTATTTTGTAGCTCTTGAAGTCTGTTATCATTCTTTTAAAAATTACCTTCTTCTGACGGAACATGCTGTATATGAAATTCAAATAAAATACAGAATCAGTCTCTTTATTTAATAGCCGCACCTTGTATATAATATATGAATAAAAGACTATTGCGAGTGAGATATTGTATAAACATTTTTCAATATTTACCAATAAAGAGCTGGTTACATGGTACTCATGTGAGTATTAATAAAACAATTAATCGTTTTTCATTTATTTGTCAAATATAAATGAAATCCTTATTAAATGTAGGAAAACACGATCTTAATGACAGAGTTCTAATGCTCATGCATCTTTATTTTAAATTAATTATTCATTTTTCGTCATTAGCTATGATCTGATATGATTTCTAAACTGATTGCTAAAAATTGATGAGGTATTAAGAGAAATACTTTATTCAGTCATTTTTCAAAATTTAAATTTAAAAAAAAAAGTGAAGTGTGATTTTTTTTTTTTTTATCATGATTCATTGTGAGATAGGATTCTAATGACAATGGCTAAAAATCGTTTCATAGAGATTAATATAAATAGTGGCACCTGATTATCATTGAATTAAAACCATGAAGGTAATGGAAATAAAACGTTAATTAGGTAATTAAGTGGAAAATACTCTTATTCAATCCATGATTAGTTTATTCTGAAATAAAATGAAATAAAAAAAATAAAGAATCGACTACAGTAATCGGGAAATTCTATTAATCCTAAGAGAATGTATTTGCATTAACAGGGATGCCCATCCTTCCCTCTTCCCTCCACTCCCCATGTTAGGGGGAGGCTTCAGTCCGAAATATTTTTTTTCACATGCATATAACAATAATTAATTAGAAAAAAAAAGAAAGAAATTAACTACCTATATGAAATGGTGTTTAAGTGGTTCTTGAAGTCCTATTAAATGTAATTGCACGAACAAGAATACTTAAAGAGATAGTTTTTAATATTTATTTCTATAAAACATGGTTATATTTTATAATTTGGGGGGGAGGACTACAACCCGAAAGTCCCCCCGTAAATCCACCTGTGCGAGATCTCGCTGAGTAATTTTACATTCGGTCGAGCCTTGTACACAAAAAATCGTTAGCGGATTGACTGAACACATTTTATGCAGTCATGTTTTTATGTTTTGATGCCGGATTATTTACAAACCCTCAAAATTAAAAATCGTTCCAGTGGTTTACTCAAGAAAACATAGCTTTTAGCGGACAAGTCAAACATATATGTATCCCTTCGAACGGCTTCGCCTTAATCAGATATTTCTCATTCTATACCTGACCACGGGAGGATTTACGGGGGGAGAGGGCTTTCGGGCTGAAGCCCCCCCCCAAAATGGAAAAATATAACCATGTTTTATGGGATAAAAAATTTAAAAATACCTCTTAAAATATTATTCTTCGTGTAATTACATTTAATAGTACTTAAGGAATAACTTAAACACCATTTCATATAGGTAGTTAGTTTCTTTCTGTTTTTCCAAAGTAATTATCTTTATTTTTATGAAAAAAAAAGGTTTCGGGCTGAAGCCCCCCTTCCCCAAAATTAAATCCTGGATCCGCTAGTGTACCAGACTAGCATTTATGAAAACTGCACATGTATGATTAAATAATATTATCGGAACATATTATCGGTCCGTTATCTATGATATAACATATTATGCACATGTTACGTTTCGAACCTTTTTTTATTTTTAACCTTTTGCCTAGCTTGAGGGCGTGGTTCTTGGTCCCTCGATACCATCCCTTATTTCTCATTTATATTTAAACATTTTTATTCATTATTTAATAGTTAATTTTGAAAAATCGACATTTAAACCCTGTTAGAGGACATAAATGTGGATACAACCTACCTTACATTAAAAACCACTTAATTTTAATTTACATCAGTTACTTATTATTAATCAGTATAATAAATTTCAAAATTGTTGGAGCCATTTTCGAGAAAATAGTTAAAATGTTTTAAATAGATGATAAAAAGTACATCTTCCAGTTTGTCGAATTTGACGAAAAAGTTGCTGTGACATCCCAGGGATTTAAAAACTTTAAATACGCATTTTCAATTTCGTATGAGTTTTCGTTTTTGAGCTAAACAGTTCACCTACACACAGACCATTTCACTAGGCTTGTTTATTTGGACTCAAACAAATGCATTTCACAACATTCCAGTATCTTTAAATAGATTTTTAGTTAAATGTAGACTGTAATAAATAGAGAAATAAATATCAAATTATAGAGAATTAGTGGGGTAGTCAGGAATGTTGTCATTTGAATATTGCTTGTTTGTTTTCTTTGTTCATGCGAGTAATATTTTAATTGAATTTTAAAACATAATTTATCTATATAAATAAAATAAAGATTTTGTCTGTACATTGAATAGAATCAACCCCTTTTATGACATCTTTCCGTTTCATACATTGCAGACACCAAATCTACTTTAAAAAAAAAATTCTGTCTGTATGCCCGCATTGCAACGAAATTTTGTCAGGGGTAACCTTAGCAATGGCTTATTGTAGACTTTTGAAATTTTGACATTATATTAAGGTTCACTTGACTTATAACATAGGCTTTAAATGAAAACAAAATATTGAGTTGAACCAAAGTTATGAATTCTTGAGTAATTTGTCTAGAGATCTCGGTTAATGTTGATAATAAATGTTAATAACAATCATATGTTTATAGGTTAAAAAACATCTATATAAATAAAATAAAGGTTTTGTCATTACATTGAATAGAATCAACCCGTTTCATGATATATTTCCGTTTTATACATTACAGACACCAAATCCACTTTTAAAAGATTTTTTTTTCTGTCTGTCCGCATTGCATCGAAATTTTGGTCAGGGGTAAGCTCAGCAATGGCTATTGTAGACTTTTGAAATTTTGACATTATATTAAGGTTTGCTTGACTTAAAACATAGGCTTTAAATGAAAACAAAATATTGTATAGAACTAGAGTTATGAATTCTTGGGTAATTTGTCTAGAGATCCCGGTTAGGCAGTTACTTCGATTCTCATCGCAACCTATTCTACCGCGAGCCATATTTAGCAGTTGTACTATTCAACTGATGGAAAAAATTATCACAACTCTACGGGAAAAATCCGAAATAGCAAACATCTATAACGCGTTGCCGCTTAAAACATACTCATTTTTCAATTTGGTCCTATCTTCCCACTCAAGGTGTCATTTTATTCAACTTCCCGAGCCTAACAAATGTTGTCGTATACATTTTTAGGATTAACCTAACGAATTAGCCGTAAATCTCAAGAAAATCTTCTAAAAACTAAATTTACCTCTCCCCCCTCACCCATTGTTATGGAATTAATCCCTTCCCCATAAAACAATATCCATCTCAAAAAAATATTCACAAATTTTAACTATACACCCATCAACGATGGGTACATCAGCTAGTTATTTATATTTAAAAATAAAATATATTTATTGTTTTTATTGATATTGTGTATGTTTTGATTTTAGATTTTATATAATTGTTAACAGTTGGCGTTATTTTAACTGTCTGACTTTTTACCAAATATGTTTTTTTAAGGAATTCTTGTAGTAATATTATTGCAATATTTGTAATATATTATATAAATGAAAAAAGAAAAACATATTTGTAATACCATAATAGTAATAATGCTTGTTTTATTTTAATTACTTCGCGATAAGTTTTCCATGGCAACCGTGTCACTTTGGGGAATCCGGGAAGAATTCAAATTTATCTCGAAAACATTACATTTTATGGCCTAGACTGGATAACTTAACAAGATCTTGATATCCGCATCGAAATTTTTAAAATGAAATTAATCACTTCTTGATCCGTCCACCTACTATTTTAGGAGTTTCGAAACCTACATTTTTAAATGACTTTTATCAAAATGGCAGTACGAGTTTAAGAATCAAAATTGTAATTTTCACTTCACCGTGACATTTATTTTCTGTTGACACCTCATTTTGCAAAATCCATTGCTCCTGAGAGCCGGAAAAAGGATTTAAACTTCCGGACTTTATAATATTTATTAATATTTCTTATATTTAAAAAATATATATAATAATAAATCGTATCATAGCTATTACTTGCCATAGGTGGCCTTCCTGATTCTCCGACTACCAGATCGCTGACCATCACTACTTCCGACTTCCTCCTTTTACTCCCGTTTCTAACTTCTGGTGTATCCTCCATCTTGGGTATTGAAACTTACTCATGGGAATGTTTTATTCGCATTCTGTCGTCAAAAGATTGCATAAGCGTAAAGAAAATAATTACCTTTAAGTCATAATTGTTTGTTTTTATGTCAAGTGGGGTATTTTATGGTTGTTTGATCAAACCTCCTATTAATAGTTCTCTTAAATAGCTTAAAAATGCTAATTTATTAAATTATTTAATTTTTTATAGAGTTTCATGATAACAAGCCTTTACAGAATGGTTCATAAGCTAAGTAGGAATTTCAGTATTTCTTATCGTTATTTTTCAATGGCTACAGTTTATAATCGACCAAAAAAAAAAAAATAATAATAAAAAAATAAGTATCTTAATTGTTCCTTCATCATCTCTTTGTTATATAAAAAAGTTTTTATTGACCGTATAATATTTTATTTAACATACAAAATCATAAATACAACATACAACATACAAACATAAAAAAATCTAGTGCGCGCAACACACAAATTTCACTTACCGTTCAACTTTGAATAGGAATTATTTTCTGGCCATGTTGGGCTATTATAAAAATTTTTAATTGCATTTTTAACCGAGCTATAGCTAAAAGATTACAGCTAACAAATCAAAAATACCATTAAATAACAAAAGACCTATTTATTATGAGGAGATGATTTGACCTAGATCACGCTCAATCGTCAGGTTTCCTCCCGTAACTATTTTTTTTTTTAAACAATTTATTCAAGATATTTATAACGGTATTACAATATGAATACATCTAGTAAATGTATACACAGGGGTAATATCACATGAAAACGCTTGTTGAGAAACTAACCACTGGTAGAACTCTAATAATATGTCTATATGATGAGATCAAGAGGCCATTTTCTTATCACTCTTCGGAGGGTTATCAGGAATTGAAGAGGAAACAAGTTTAGAAACGAGAGGATTCGGATGTTTATGAAGTTTATTATGGAAGGAAAGGTATCTGGATTGGGCCAAATCGGAAACATATGAAACATTAAGGTCATTATGCATTATTTTATTTGTAACAAAGTAAGGAGCTTTGAGGATTTTATGAAGGATTTTGGATTGTAAGGATTGGATACGAGAGGAATTCGATGGTTTAGTGAAGCTCTATAGCTCAACTCCGTAAGTTCAAATAGGTGTTATTATAGTCATGTATATTAGTCTTTTGTAATTAATTGAAAGTTTAGAGCGTTTGTCTAGTAAATGTTGGAGTAAGCGGAAACGTCGAGCTGTTTCTTGTCGTTTCAGTCTGGTATGAGGATTCCAAGTGAGACGTTTCTCCAGGTGGAGTCCTAGGTAACGGATTTGTTCATATGGGATCGCAGACTATTTAATGATGAATATCCACATTGTAGAAACTGAGTGTGCTCTAGTAGGTTCTCCTGACTCTTGCATCGATCCATGGCTCATGTAACAGAATTAATAATTATTTTCCACCACCGGACTCAAACCTATAACATGGAGCATATGAGCACTTTGGTTTATCGAGCAACCCCGCTCTTATTAGTTACATAATTACTATATTTAAAGGTCAGTGGTTTGTCTTTTGAGAATAAAATTTATAGGACGAGTTATTTTTTAAATAGTGGCTTTTGAAGGAAAATTAATTTGTGCGCCGTCACCAAAATTGATCAGTGGAATTTGATGAAAGTGATATTGGAGCATTTGTACATTAGTTCCCTTCTTCCTACAACTTTCTATTATACCAGAAGATAGACACCTCATCGAAAGTAGTGTAAGTTTGATAGAAATGATGGAATTTAAATGGGATCATCTAGTCACCAACAATTACTGAAAATTCAATAAAGATCAGAATAACAGTAGTAATCGTTATGCTCATCACATGGATTTAACTACATGCCGATAAAAGTAGCCACCCAATTTGTTCCTCGAAGGATGAAATCTAAAATCGAGTTATTTTTCGATACCCAAGTCATTTCTTTCGGCAATGAGAGAGAAAGCAAAAAAGATTATTCCATCTCTCCCCTCCCGCACAAAATTTGAAGTATCACTTTTCAAGTTTTCTTTTAAATTAAAATAATTACATGACTTCATAATGGAACTTACTCTCATAAAAACGATTTTACTATAGTATTGTATGAATTTTTCTATTCTCGAGAACGATTTCACAACAAAAACGCGCATCCGCAAAAACAGAAAATCTGTAAAAATACGTTCCTATCGTTTGTACCATCTTCTCACATCTTCAGCCCTCTCGCTCAGAGTCAAGTTACATATGTACAAGGCCATACTAAGACCAGCAATCCTGTAAGGCGCACACTTAACTGAAAACACACATCGACACTTTAAGCAGTTTCAAAACACAATTCTTAGGAAGATTGTTAGAATAACGGCGTGGTAAAAATAAAAACAGGAAGAGGCATGTCAAATTCCTGGACTCACTTAAATACTTCCCTAATCCATTATTCTCAACTCCACAGACGGATCTAATGGGGGGGGGGGGGAGAAAGGGGAGGGAAAAGAGAGGGCTTTCGGGCTGAAGCTCCCCTCCCCTCCCCAAAATAGTAAAATATAACCATGTTTTTCACAAAAAAAAATATTAAAAACTATCTTTCAAAGTATTCTTGTTGGTGTAATTACATTTAATAGGACTTCAAGAACCATTTCATATAGGTAGTTAATTTCTTTCTTTTTAAAAAAAAATTAATTATCGTTATATATATATATATATATATATATATATATATATATATATATATATATATATATATATATATATATATGAAAAAAAAATCTTTCGGGCTGAAATCCTCTCCCCAAGAATTAAATCCTGGATCGGCTAATGATCAATTCTAACACCGGCACCTCGCCCAGTGCGATGGCAGAATACATCATGAGAAATTAACATGGACGTTTAGGATTATTTATAGTAGAATATTCAGTTCAGAAGTTCTGAAAAAAAAACCTATCCCAACTCCTTTTTAAGTAAAGGTAATTTAAGACTGCATGAAAGCACAGGCGGATCTACGAGGGTGGGAGGGAGTTTTCGGGCTGAAGTTCCTCCCTCCCAAAAAAAAAAAAAATGGTAAAATAAAACCATGTTTTATGAAAAAAAAAGTCTCTAAAAGTATTATTGTTCGTCTAATTACATTTAATAGGACTTAAAGAATCACTTAAATACCGTTTCATATAAGTACTTAGTTTCTTTCTTTCTTCCGAAGTAATTATCCTAATATATACATACAAAAACAATCTTTCGTGCTGAAGCCATCCCAAAAATTAAATCCTGAATCCGTTATTTCATGAAAATGCAACCTCAAAATAAAACACAGTTTCAGAAACCTACGTAATATATTTCATAATAGATTATTCAAATTGGAGGTTTTGAAAAAGATAAAATAAAAAAAGAAGGATTTCTCTTAAACGCAGAACTGTTGTTAAGGTGGATTTTTCGGCTTATTATCATTTGTCTTGTTTTATCTTCATTTAATTGTAGGCCGATTCGTTCTGCTTCTCTAATCAGATTCTTAGCTTGTCTATCGATGTCCTATTCATTTCTTTCAAGGACAGCTGTACATCTGCATATCTAAGGATTTTATAATAATCGTTTCGATTTTTGCACCCTTTCTTTTCACGTGATGTTCGTATCACCTTCTCGAGTGTTACTTCGGAGAGAGTAACATCTCCTTGCAGTAAACCAGTTCGAACATTGAATGCTTCATATACTTTTTCTATTAGTATGTAGATTCCACACTTTAGTCTAGGCGGTGAGTGCGATAATTCGCACTGCGGTTTCTCTTCAAATTCTTGTCCAGTATGCCCTACTGACTTGGAAACTCCATGTTGACACCTCAGAATATGGTAGGTTTAGGCTGGAAGAAGGCGGATGCCCTAAACTTACTGTTACCTAAAACTCGGCCATGGATCATTGTAGAGACTCGAATTCGGACTTTTTTTTTATTATTTCTTAATGATATTTACAACTATATTAAAGAAATACATTTATTAAATTTGAACATATGGATATAATGGCATTAAAACTACATTAGGAGATCACGAGGCCATCTTCTTTTCAGACGCCTCGGAGGGTTATCAGGAATTGGAGAGGGAGCAAGGTTAGAAACGAGAGGGTTGGGATGATTCTGAAGTTTATTATGGAAGGATAGGTATCTGGATTGGACCAGATCTGAAACATAAGAAACATTAAGGTCATTATGGGTTTTTTTATTTGTAACAAAGTAGGGAGCATTGAGGATTTCACGAAGAATTTTGGATTGTAAGGATTGAATACGAGAGCGATTCGATGGTTTAGTGGCCCCATAGCTCAACTTCGTAAGTACAAAAAAGCCTTATTACAATGTGAGATAAATATGTGTATAATTTACCTATCGAATCCTTGGTTATTGCTTGGAAGATACTGAAGCGGTAGACCTTTGAACCTTTCACCTTTCCTGCCGATCTGGGAGACCGATGTTTCGAATTAAACGTTAAATGAAGATAAGAAATATAGAAAGCACTATGTGAGCAAATTATTTAGTAATGACAAGGGCGTTTGAACAGGGAATGATAATCGAAATATTATTGCATAAAAAAATACGACTTCTTCATTATGTTCATTTTTTTTTATAACTTTCTCCTTGAATTTACAAAGTAAACAAAATAATAAAAATCACTTCTTTAATAGATTTAAATTGTTTTATGAATATTACATTTAAAAAAATCTTATCTTTTTATGCTATTCAACTTTCATCATATTGTATTCCATGCAAATTAAGGATATACGATACTAAAAGACAGTTCTAATAATATATGTCTGTGAGATCTGGACGACTAACCAGGGCCCTAGAAAAAAATATTAAAACCTTTGAAAACTGCTTCGCACTTCAATTTTAGATCAGAGTACTAACACATAGATAAGAAAGGCCAATAAATAGCTGCTTATAGAAATTGGTGAATCAATATCCTATGATGTGAAGGCACGGAGGTTAAGATGGGCGTGACATGTTGCTCAGAGCAATCCATCTGGAAGCATC